AACGATGTAGCTATATTTCCGTCGTCATTGTCATCTTAAAAAACGGTCCTGCGTGTTAGGCCTTCGTCGGACCATTTTTGAGGAAGCTTTTATGACTGCATCTAGCCAAGTCTGTTCGTTACACTCCTCAACAGTAATGCCATGTTAAAGAGCTGTGCTCTCCAAATACTGCCTGCGTGAAGTTTTACAGCATTATACGCGGTCTCTTTGGAAGAAGCAACAAAGGAGGAGTGAAAGCTCATTCTCCTATTCACCAGAAGTTGTAACGCAAGAGAAAGAACAAAACTCTACCGAAAGGTTTGAAGTCATAATCAACTGTTCGGTAGAGATGAAACAAAAGTGTTTCATCTGATCTTTACGAAAACAACAGGAGCATATCAGTTGCTGTCATACTTAATTAGGTTGTGTAGATTCAGTTGGTAGGATGGTTGGATTTATTTGCCATGCATTGCTAATCAAACTTGCATGTCTAAGCCATTAACTCTATCAGGCTGTTTATGGTCTCTTTTGTAAGCCGGAAAACCACATTAATTTAGCATCAAAACAAAAGTGAAACGGTTTGAAACATTATTAGGTGGAATTTTATTAAGTCGAAGGCCTGCAGCTTTGTACCATCTCATGACCCCTTTGCAGTCTAACGAAAGTATAAAACCGAGCAGATCTGAAAAAGCATCTGACAGCTGACACTTATTAGTCAGGAGCCATGCTGGTTAGCTAAGATGAAAATCGCTGGATCTTTACTGTGTGCAAAAATAAAAAACGAGAGTTTAGCTGCCATCTGAGGTGGTGGGTTCCTCATTCCCTTCTGAATTTCGTCCTTGGTCTTCCGCTCCAAAAACGTGCTCAAAGAGGGGAAGAAGACAGAAAATTTGACATGATCTAACTCAAAAAATGAAGAATTCGTTATAATTTCTTAAAGGATCTGCAACGCTACGATGGAGCAGCAAAACTCTCATTTGTGTCAACGACTATGCTTGAAGACCCACCAAGATTGCCCTGGGAAATTTGCATAGTGTCGTGAAAATATAAAAACAAGCTAACGAAATAGGAGCAGCTGTTTGTTCATTCATTTACTTGCACTTTTTGCCGCAAAAAGTATGGGGAGTCGCGAAGGCGAGTAAATTACAGCTGGTGGACATCCATTAACATGTTTGCGCATTAATAACATTATGTCCTGCGTAAATCAGTGGCGGAATTTATGCAAATCAAGTCAATTTGACAGTCCACCTTTAAGAACCCAGTTGGGTGGAAGTTTTGGCTCTTCTCTGCTTGAAAAGCGAAGCGCACATCAGTCTGCCTTGGACCGTTTTCATTTCTCATGCGCATTACAAGAGCAGAATAAATATAGAGAAGTGGAAGTTGTTTCAGCTCAAATTGAATTTGCAAAATATTTTTTCTTTCACTGGTGATTTTCTCCTCTACCAGTGCGATGCACACGCTCTGCTAGTCATCATTTCGGGGAAAAGCGTCGTTTTAAACCTCATAGCAACTCATCGTAGCGGATAGAGAAGAAAGCATTCAAATTGTAGCATTTGTACCCTCGAATACAAAACACTTTTAATGCACTGAACTGCAACAATCCATTTTCCATCGCAGTCTGTTACATTGGTGAATGATGACCATTCTGTGATGGAGAGCTACCCATCAAAGCGGTCATCAAGTTGTCAATTCGAAGTTAATTACGAAGAACCACCTCAAAATATCTCACGACAAAATAATAAAAACAAAGTGCAGTAAAAGTCCTTAACATCCTTGAAAGGTTTAAAATAAGGTTTCGTTTTGTTTTTCTCTTAGCATAGCTCTATCTCGGATTTGGAGAACGGGTTGTTTGGCCCCACAAATATCCACGAATGCGTCCATGTTTTAGTCCAGCAAAAGATTTGTCCGAAACCTTGATTTATAGCCACTTAATCTCAAAAAAATCAAAATAAATCAAGATTTGAAAAGAATGAATAAAAAGCCTTTCAAAACGGGGAGACGGGCGCACACATTTAAAGGTAGTTAAACTGAAAAATAGACAGTGATGTTAGTGCTTTTTATGAATTCCCTGATGAGGAAAAAAAACCCCATCCTAAGTCAAACGGTAAAAATACTTTTGTTTCCTGCTTTTAGGGCGAGTGGACAATGGAAGTGCTTTAAAAGTTTAATGAATGATGTAACCACTTCTACTTTCCAGGCTTTCTTTTTACGATCTAAGGTGCCCTTGAATTTTATGATTGTAGCATTTTAGGGGCTTTCAATGAAACAAAAGGAAACTCGACATGCAGCACGGTCAGAATGCCGCCAATTCTGCGCACAGGCTGGATCACTCCGGCGAAGTGGCAATGACGGGCACCCTTCGGTGGACTACTTGCAATCAACAGTTAAGCAACCGAATGACGTATTATACGTTGGTCATGCTGAACTGGAACTTAAATCGAAGCCTTCCAGCTTTTTGCGATGAAATTAACTTCATTTTAGTAAATGAGAGCGTTGGTTGTTTTGCCTAGGAATGCTTCGCAAAGGTTATTTAAAGTCGTGCACCGGTTGACTGCGCTTAACATTAAGGAAAATAAATAAACTTTTTTCGAATACAGAAGGTCAGGTATAAAAATAACTCTACTAGCAATAAATACCTGATGGAATCTTCCTTGTGTAGGGCATTTGTGGGGAAAATTTGAGGCTGAATCTTGTTGAACGATGAAGCTTTGTATGGACTACTGGATCAAATGCTTCCAGTAACGAGATTTCCGAAATTAACCAAAGTTTTCAAGCCCTAATTCAGGATATTGGTTTGAGTTTGAAATCAGAAGTATTGGCAACATCGCAGCTCCTTTGGTCTTCCTCTTATTAGATAGGCAGTGCAGCAGGTGAGAAATGATTATACGTCTGGATGAAGAGCAAAATACTTGCCCTGTAATACTCATGTTTTTTCCCATTTTTTGTGCGTTAGCACCAAAAGCAGGCAAGTGAGGGTGTCGGAAGATGATTCCAGTGACCCGCTGAGGAGAGCGAAAGCCAATGAGGCGGCTGCAAAAGGCGGCTGTCTAAGGTGCCTAGTATTTGCAATAAATTGGTTAACACCAGATTTTAAAGCAAAATTTTGTCAGATAATGGCAGTCAAAAGTGAATTGCCTACTCGTACCGCAGTCTCAAATGCATTGCAGCAGGAATCGTGTAAGCGAAAAGTGACAATCGGGAGTGGATTTCAAACAGAACGAGTAACAACAATCGTAGAGATAAAGAGAAGATGCAAAAAGTCTGTAAAACAGTCAGTGGTTTGTAAGTAGCAAAATTAAATTACCAGAGTGATCCCTCTTAACTACGTACAGCCTATTAATGATTCTGAACAACAAAATCCACCAACATTTCACAAAGAATAAAAATGCGTAAATCGGCGCCGTTTTTGTTTTTTTGACCATCTTACAAACATGCGCTAGGCCAAAACTCTTCCAAAACTTATGAATAAGTGATTATGCGATCCCCGAAATTCCTTTGCAGAAATAAGCACAAGCTCAACTTCCCCTTTATTCAGCTGTTCAGTCAGTTTACTCTTAGTTATTTACCCTTTCAGCATTAAAAAAGGTGGAGTGAAGCTTTCCTAAGGATGAGTTTTGAATGAGGTGAAGTATGAGACAGGATATTGACCATTCCAGCAACTCTCCTAGGACAAAATATCTTGACCCATCCGTTCCAGGGGTAAAGGCCAGGCAAGAGAGATAGAAAAAGTAACAGCAAGAAGAAAAAATTCAATTGTCCAACTTCCAGTGTTGCAGTGCCAGTAAGGCATTCAGGGTGAACAGCTGCGTCTCCAGGCCATCCACCGCTCATACAAAACGTAGCCTCGTGAGCTTAAAATGGTACGTTGAAGTGTGGAGTGGTAGCGAACAGATGGTTGGAGAGCAATTTGTTTTGCTGCGTCAATAAATGCTGGAGTGAAAATCGGAAGTCAGTTGCTGAACAAACGATGCTAAACTTATGGTTCTCAGCGATTATGTACGTTAAAGGAGCAAACAAATGCAAATGAACCGATTGGCACATTCTTTGAGATTGTTTTTTTGTAAAATGGAAACGAGTTGTTTAACCATGCATATCAAACTCTGTTAAACAGTTGCTCATCCCAGTCTACGTTTGCCTTCCGTTTTTGATAATTTCAAGGTTACACAAGATTCATTCATTCATTCATTTCATTCACCATTGCAGGTACAAATCCCGGCAGCGCCAACCACCATTTAATCAGAGATAGGAATGGCAGGGAACTGCAATTGTGAAGCATCTTTCAGACCTCAACAGCTCACCGAAAACCGCTACATTACAAAATACAAAAAAAAATTGTATTACATCATTTTTGGTATCCTTCCAGATCGATTGGTCATTGAGAAGTAGCCCTAATTTAACTTCAAACCGAGATTCCCTTGAAGCCTCCACGGTGAATTACCTATTGATTTGGTCAGAGCCCACCTGTGGACATTGAATACAACGTTACTCACTCATGTTTAGGCTTTTTTTAAACAGGAAAATAACGGCGACGGCATCTTCTGTTCTAGGGTCTGACGTGCCAAATGCATGATTTAATATTTGGATTGTGAGCTATTAAGGCAACATTTTACTTCATAGACTTCATCGCAGTATCAAACAAACAAACCTGGATAAAATACAGGCTAAAGTTTTGAACGAAAGTCGCCAATTTAATGAAGAAGTTAAATGAAGCATCGCAGATAAAGTAAGTCACTTATGTAAATAAGTAATAATCTGGTACACCAGAGACCCGCAAAAGCATGTAACTCGGATGTTTGAGCGTCTTTGGGGAAGGGAGAGGGGACTAGGATAAAAGCAGACGGAAGACATAGTGGTCAAAACGCTGCTGTGGAGATAATTAATTTGGAAAGGCAGGGAAAGGGTGGTGCTACGTGATGGCAGTAATAGATAAATAGACCATATAAAGAGAGGAGGAGAGGATGAGTTGACCCATCACATCAAGAATAAAGCGAAGCGTGGACGCGAGGGTAGTAAAGGTGTCCTCATTCGGTAGATGTTGTCGGCTCGGGTTCGGACGTCCCGAGGGGAACACGAGGTTGAAGTTTTTGAAGCAGATTTACACAGGGAGAGCAGACGTTGGCGCGTTTTGCAATGAAGGGATCCACAATCCAGAGTGTTACAAAAAAGGCTTAGTAGAAAAAAACAGTAAAGATTAGTGAAAGCAATATCTGTCTCCAATTTACCTTGGCTTCAACACCTCAATTGTATGACAACTGAGTCTCTCCGATTCGACATTTGTTGAAATCGCTTATTTACCAATTAAACGCTTTTATTAAGTGGAAAACTAACAGAGAGTAGGCTTTTATTCAAAATTACTCAGCTTTATCTTCACTAAAGACCACTATAAACCCCATTTAAAGCCTATTTTTAGGCCTGTAATATAAGCCATTTGAGGGCCTACGAAAATAGTTCTTTTGTTGCAAAATAGTACTAATTTTATGAGCGTAGAAGAGGTCAAAGCGTTTCAAGGGCTGCACAGGGCTCTAACGCATGAAGTGCCTCAGTCTTATGCACTGCTTACCAAAGAGACAAATGCTGCCACAAATGCCGTAGAGAAGAGTCCAGTGGCCCTTAAGTTTCTCACTTATGACAGCACAGATGATGCTGCCTACGGACTAAAATTTTAAAATATTTTCCAGATTTAACAAATGTAATAAAGGACTTATATCCTACCATAACTGTGGCATCCTCTCCTCCTAGCTATTTTTGGTTAGTTTCTATTGTAAAATAAAAAATGGCACTTTTTAAGTTTGAAGGGGTGAGGCATTATAAAATGTCCTTATTTTATCATGCTGGTGTCTTGTTAAAAGAAGTGCAACATCTCAGCGCTACCGACAAAGTATTGAAGACAATTCCAGCGCCGGAAGACAATACAACATTTGCAAAAGCAATAGTAGGATGAAGTTGGCATCTGACTGCATAAAATGTCATGCGAAATATTTTCGATGCCTCATTATGGCAGGGAAATCAACTTCTCCAAAACTAAATTGACAGCAGGAGAGATTTTCTCTGCAGACCATATGGCGAGGCCAATGCGGAAAACATTCGAGCAAGGGAGAAGTAATCAACATTATGTTGATAGATGGAAAGGATTGATTTCGAAATCACGATTCGTGGGACAGTGGATGCTTCTTTTCCTTAAGAAGTGGATTTGATACAAGTGGTAGAAGTGGTCATGTACCGTCCCAAAAACACCAACTTCAACTTTCAATTTGCATTGACTTTTGCATTCAAACTGAATCAAGCGTAATCATTTTGACCGATTTCATGCGTAGGTGTCGCAGTTACCGTTTGCTTTGAGTGTAGGTTATCCCCTCTTCGAGAATATGAACAGATGTCTATTAAACGTTTTAAAAATCGGATCTTAAAAGCAGCACTTAGATACTCATGAGTGTTTTATGAACGGTCTCCTTTTAGTACAGTAACTACGGTCCATCATAGAAGCAGATAATGAAAGCTCAAAAAAGCATCAACATCGGCAGCATCCTCTCGTCTCTCTCTCCTCCGTACAAAGCATTAATTATGTACTTTCTTGGTAAGAATTATCGTCAAATTTTATGACACCCAAATTCCCTATCTGAAAAGCTTATCCATCTTCTACATCAAGTAGTTGACTAAAATAGGGGACATTAGCACGATGGAATGACAAGTGACATACAGATGGCAGCAAAAAAGACATAGGAATGAAGTTTATAAGGGGCTACAATGTGTCTAAAATTGCAGGAGGGAAAGAGCACTGCCTGCCTTAAAAATAGATATTTGATGCATAAGTTAAATTGTGGGATTGCAGCTAAAGAGGTTTCGTATCCCGAAGGATGTCTCTGCAGGACATGCACATTCAGTTTTCTGATCGCCTTTTCTATCGCTAACAAATTGAAGTATCAGAACGTTAAAACTGGATGACACTAGTGCTGCAGTGAAGAGGAGCAACAAAATCCTGTGTTTTTTCATAAAATCCATAACCATTTTATGCTGAACTGTTACGAAGGACAAGTTGCAGAACATGTGTAGTGACGGTTCTGAGCTTGCTAAGCATTATCAGTACAATCGCAATAAAGTGGGCGATTCAATGCCAAGACCTGCGTAACTGTGACAAGCCTAAATGCTGCATGAGATGAGGGAGAAGTGTAGGGATGCGAGGGCGATTTTCACTGTCACACTACGGTCACACTTGCAAACACCGTAGGTCATCTTTGACCAGGATGGAAGAATGAAGTCCTCACTAAGAGCTCTACACCGAGAGAATGGTAAATGTACTGCTTTTACGAGGTAAAATCTTTGAAAAACCTCAGAACGCTTCGAATAAACCAATTTGTACTGTCCTAAGGGCAGAATAAACAATGCAACACTTCGACTGAATTAGCCCCCTTTTAAGAATAAACCACATAGATTGCCCAAAGTTTCAGATGAATTGTGTGTAATTATAAGCGTTATCGCTTAGAAAAATTGTAAGTCTTTTTATTAAGGTGAGCCCTTGACTTTAAGCAAATTCACGGTTTGTGCATAATGGCCAAGCAAGATACCATTACTCCAAAAAGAGTTGCCAAACTCCTGACTTTCTTCAAAAGGTCAGAAATCAAAATAGGTCTCTTTCTAATAATGTGCAGAACAATGGCGTTTTTCTACTTTGGAAGTAAAAAAGTGCTAAACAGGTGCTTGAAAGAGACTTAGCTGCGTTTGATAGCCGTGTCAATTATTTAATCAGTTCCGATGAGGTGAGTCTTGTCAACGGACTTGGTAAAATGATTGTCCTGTTGTCTAAGACCGCAACTAGCGGTATGATGAGGTGGCAAATCCATAAAAATCAGATCAGGGATTCTTAAGGTACTCAGTGGTGTTGTATGGAAAGGGCAGGAGAAGGAGGAAAATGGGTTTCTCACGAGAATCCTGAGAACTATGAAGCGGCTGCGTCAACTGGCAGCAGATCAAACATGTTGTCTGAAAACACACTTTCATTAGGACTTAAGCGACTTGTCGGTCTGAGTGTCAAAATGACCACTTAGTTGCAGTTTGTCTAAAATGGTTAGCTAAATGCTGCATTTTTTAATACAAAGCAAATGAAACGTACAAAAGTAAGTTATTTGCAAGTAGAACGATAAGTGAGAAACAAGTGATGCTGACAACTATACTACCATTAAAGGTTGGAGTAATTTTATTTAACCAAACTATTTATTCTAGCAACAAATACGCATTTTAAACAGAAGCTTTGCCTTGATTAATTGCAAAAATGCGTGCATAACTTTATAACTGCTACCAATGCTACCACTGACTTGGAAAACTTTTCACGAATAAATAAGTGCTGCCACCATCGTTTAAGGTTGCCAATGAGGTGAAAAGAATGGACAAGAGGACTCACAAAAGCGCTAAAGATCATTCCATAGTTCACGGCCATATAGGTGGGTCCGAAAATGCGACCTGTGGCAGCGGGCATCAGGACAAATACACCAGAGAGAAAAAGGAAGAGAAGGCATACCCAAACAGCGTAGATGGCCATCGAGCCCGTCTTGATGGCCACTACGTGTGGGAAGGTGAAGAGGATGATGGCCCACGTGGCGAGCATTAGGCACAACGGCATCTACGAGAAGAACGTCCCACCGCGTTAATCTAATTCACACTATCGTTGGTCACAATTTAAAGAAAATAATAAAAGATGCGCTTAAGATGGCGCATTAAAATAGGTGGAGTTTAGTGCTTACGAAGACAATTAGGATTTTATCGAGTGATATTTGAAACACAGTTTTAGTAGTATCTTTAGATTGCTTGTGATTGCAAACACAATAGTTCGTTGTTTGACGAAGGTAACACCCGCAACTTTAAAAGATGTAAATATCTCATGTTTTTCACATTGCTGGTGTACATTTCGTTTGTTCAAAGCAATTACATTTCAATTTGCTGAATGTGACAATACTTAGCTAATAATGTGAAAAGTTAATTTAAGGTGTCATTTAGATTTTTGTAGAATCTTATAAATGAAAGCTACTGTTGGCAATCCCTGATTTTAAAATTTAGTTTAACAAAAAAGATATTGATAAAAATTCCGGTGTTTTGCATGGATTTTCACTACCCTCTCTCCAACGCAGCAACCACAACTGGCTTTGCTGCGTGCCAGCCCAAATCCTGCCCAAAGCCAGCAAGCGTGGTAGAGATTCAAGCCAACTTGCCCAAAGGACCATTCATTCAAACCACCCTTTCATTTCACAGGAGGAGCATAACCGACAAGAGTGCAGGCTAATAGGAGCACAAGGCAAAATTTTCATGGGGTCGTTTGTGCGCTGCATAAAAGGGTTCGTTGGAGAAATTGGAGAACTGCCTGTTCAGACGAGGCGTAAGTTCTTGCGAGAACCTTTATAAGCCCACAGTTTTCTTCGTCAATCGCAACCATTGTTTTACATTTTCAACAATGCTGTGATTGTTCAGCTCTCTTTGGTGTTAATGGACCACTTCTGCGCTCTTCGCCACTCTTCGGTTGATGGGCGGTCTGACGTTCGCACTTTGCTGTCAACAGTGCCTGAGTGCTATCCTTATCTCGTCCTCAAGGAAGGCCCAAGGCACAACGTTAAATCCGTTGACATTTAAAAACAATGAGGGTGCAAAAAGGTCAAACTAAATCAAACGGTTTGAAAAGCAAATCTATCTTAGTAATTTCTTTCATGCTAGTGTGACGAACTACCTTTAAAATTTTGTACATACTTAAACAATATTCGAAAAAGATTTACTCAAAGACAACTGAAAAGTAGTTAGTGCTCCACAAAGCTTAGAAAACGTAGGACTAAGTCAACCGTTGCACTAAAATACTTCTAAACTTGTCATTTGTGGTTTTATTCCAAGGGTAGCATTAGATTAGCACTTTCATCAAATCAAGAAATTACTCCTTCCTTACGGTTCACTGATTAATTTAATCGCCAACTTTTGAAAAAGAAGAAAGGAGAGCTAATTAGGCGAGCAAGGCATCTACGCGTAAGTTTGATTCATCCATAGCGTGGTCGCCTATTCAATGATGGAATAAAATGAAAAGGGGAGAATTGCCTTAAAGGAGAACTTGTCACAAACAGCTCCCCATATGATTCGTCCGCCGGAGTTGAAAAGCGAACTGGCTGTTGCCACACCGGAGAGAAATCGGTCGTCCGAAATATGCACTTGACCCACGAGCTGATGGAAAATAGAACCATATGGTGGATAAACAAAAAGACTAGCCAACCTGTTTCACCTGCTTGTAAAAATGCAAACCAAAGTGATATTAACGGAGACATGATGAGACCTCCAACTAAAAACATTTTGCAAATGTGGCACGTATGAGGGGAGAAGTGGATGAAATGGTACGCCAGCATAAGACCCCAATAGTCATGATAGCTGACAATGCAAGCACATCGGCAAAATACACTAACACATCACATGGACTTGTCCACATCTTTCAAGGTACAAAATTCGGCGATAAAATTGGGGAGAGTGAAAATAAAGCGTCTAGAATGCTCTTTAAAAATTAAAAAGGAGACCTTACCTTAAAGGAGGCCGTAATAAGAGTGATGGGAATAATATTGCACAGCATCACGATCCAAAGGAAGTAGAATTCGTGTCGACGCAGTGCTTGAAGTGGTGGATAGTTAATTTCCCTGTGTTGGAAAGAGCGAAAACAAACCTACTAGTAAAAATAATGGCAAACTTTAACATGGAACCAATATGGATAACAAAATTTGGTCTAGTAAGGGAAAGGTGGCAGTGTTTCTTGCCGTACTTCACCAAAAACGGGAATACTTAAAAGAGTATTAAGCAAAAGTGTGAGTCAAGACGACTAAGTAAGAGTTTAAATGACAAATTAAATAAAATACGAGTGGTTAATGCATCCTGGGCATAATGCGCTTGTTAGTAATGAGAGAAAGGAGAGCTCAAAAAGAGGAAAAAAATAGTTATGGGTCAAGACGAGTAGCGATGGGACAATGTTGGCCCATCAGCTCCTCCTCCAAAATGTGCATTACCAAGCCTGACATGCTGAATTGTTCGAAATCTCAGTGTGCTAAATTTTAGGCTGTGAACTTAGGATGTGAAACTAGTTATATTTTCGCTCTAGAAGAATTTGTGAACCATCAGTAAAGTAAGGTACCGATTTTAGTGAAGGAGCATCACTGAATCGCTTCAAAACGCAACTTTTTCCTCCTCAAGCAACGACTGTCATTTGTCAACATTTTAAGCTCCAGAACAGAGAGTAAGAAGCCCTTCAAAAGCTAACCAGGATAGTTGCCCCTTTCACTGAAAATTTACATAGTGGTAAAAATAAAGTATCACCAACTGCCAAACATCACTAAAGGTGGTAAAGATAAAGAGGCGTAATCAAGGACCTTCGTAACACCAGCTTTGAGTGGATGAAAAGGCGAAGCAAGTCTCCTCCCGACCCGCTGCTACTTCAGGGAGGAAAGTGTGTCCTAGGCTTTTGCAAGAAGCACTCCATTCCTATTAATTGCCTCAATATGGGACCCATATATATAATGAAGTGTAGCTCCGCGATTTAGTAGCCACAAGCGCCTATTTATAGCAACGTAGCCGAAATGGTTCCCGCAAATTCACCTAGCTTCCTGCATAATTGCAATCATTGCAGTTTGGACTGTCGAGTATTTTTACTTCAGTCACGTAGACGTAGGGACTTCAATATGCGGATCCACCTTTTTGCGCTGCAATTCCAAACTTCAAATCGAGACTAATTCTGATCCTACAGACATCAAAGTAAAGAATAGCCAAAAAAGGTTTCCACTTCTCCCATCATATTAAGGAAACCAAAGTGGTGGTGGACAATGAGAAAAATAATTATTTCATTGTTATTCCACTAAAATGTTATTTTTGGGGTTTTTTAACTCCTACTTTCATAAATAATTAAGGTATGGTAATAGCGTTGCTCGTGACAATAGATAGACGTAAAAATTCAATGAGAGTGGAGTCGATTTTGAATTTGATTAGTAGTTCAGATGCAGAGTAGCCTACATCTTCTCTGCCATCGTCAACTCAAATAATGCGCTTCTTTCGCGCAATATGGTGTCAATTGTTGCCGTGGCTTAAGAGGAAAGCGCCTTTTCTGGTATCTGAGATTCCTAATCACGCCAAAGGTGTTAAAAAGTGTTTCCAAATCATCTCTTTACTCGAAACAATGCCTCAGCAGAATTTTTGACTGGTAGAAGTTGTATCCCTACAGTGATTTGCTATCAAGTGTAAACACCCAGTCAGTACACATTGCCCACCAGTCGTATTCCAAGTCGCCGCAGTTATGGTTAACTTACAGCACATAAAACCTCATCCCTCAACTCTCCGATGAGAGCGAAACTGGCCTGCATACGTGACATGCAGTAATGTTTTGGGTGTTATGGCTGCCTGTGATTAATGCGCGCCAATATCTTTCATTCCAAAATTTTCAGACATTGAATTAAAGACCTGGGATCAAGCGCATAATCCCTCTTAGCAAATGTGACAAACCTTTTTTGGGCTTTTGCCAAGCTTCGGAAAGACGAAGTGGTCTAAAGACAAATGCATTGTATTGATGGTCTTTATATATAAACAATGGCATTATTAGATTAAAAAGTAAGCCTCAAAAGACTAGTTTTTTGCTGACAATAGTTTAACAACACTCGATAAGCACTTGTGGAACTAATGGCGATCAGTTTGCGTTGGAAAGTACTGAATTCCCCATGTTGAGCCGCAATACCAAGTGAGCAAAGCTCAATTATAGAGATAGATGCGTTTTTTGCATAAAATGACCCATAGCAACCAATTAATGAAACTGGTCTTTTAAACGGATTTACCGAATGCCCATTTTTTAAAGGAAACTTAATGAAAATTAGCTCCGACACTAAATGCCAACATCACCAAGTTTTGCAGGAACTCTCACTGCTGCGCATATCATGCACTAACAATGTAGTAACAATCTATCAAGCCCCACATAGTCCAAGAAATCCTTCATAATTCAAAGCAAAACAAGCGACAGCGAAGAAGTGTGAGTTCGAATAATAAGAATGTGGTAAAATAACGAGCTGGAAATGTATGCATGGTTTCGTAAAGCAAGTCTGTGACGTTATGTATCCCGTTGATATGCTTAACTATCCTTATAGCAGCCTCTGAAGTCGCACGCGGCATGCAACAGTGCATAAGCTAAAGTTTTAAAAACATTCATAATCACTGAAGCAATATAAATTATTTTAAACTTTAACTCTAACTGTAGAACATAGAGAAATGAAATATCAAAATTCGCATTTTCCTACAGCGGACAAGTGAGAGATTTTCGAGCATCTCTTGACGAGTTAAAGTCTCCAATGTGAGCATGCGCCTCAGCCAGTGAAGATCGACTTCTGCGATTTGCGAATTCCTTTACATCATCACTTGCATAACTAAGAAATAGTATAGACAAAAAATGTAATTATACTGAGAAGAACTAAAAACACTGCAAAAGATCCTACTTAGCCTCCTGTGACTCGCCGTCCTTTGGTTCAACAACTTTCTCTTCATCACCAGACTGCACCAGAGACTTCATTTCCTTTACAGAAAGAGTATAAAATTATTTTATGCTTCAACAATAGAACTATAAGGCAGAACGCAACTTGCAGTTTTAGTGCCTTTGTCATCTTTCTGCGCATTTGACTAAAATGAGGATTGCATCATAAGTTCGCAAAGGTAACTTAAAATGCATGCAACTAATAGCAGCATTTACAGTTAGTGTACTGTTTTAGATTAATAGTATGGTTACCTTATTTTTGGGTTCCGGTTTTTGATTGAGAAGTAGGATGCCAATGAACTGGAGAGACGCAAGCGAACCGCCAAGCATCAAGAAGGCGGTTGGAACTTTATCCAAAAGAGCTTCGTCTTCAAAAAGCCTAAAAGGAAACAAGATCATGCTAGGCTTTCTTAAATCAGATTCTTAAAAGCTATAAGATAAATGATATCTCACTTGGAAATATTATTGACCATTGCGTTGTTAGGATTTATGTACGCAGTTTGAATTGGAGTAAATACGAGTGCACCAAGCCCAAACCCACCAACAATTAACCCAACAACAAGGGATCTGCGCTTTGGAAACCACTGTATAAAAGCAAAAAACAATAGCGATTGCGCAAAGCAGACTTTGCTTCACTTGAGTGCATAAATAGCATTACCGAACCAGCAACGGAAAAAATGATGGCATATGATAAACCGAATCCGAAACCAAGAATAACGGCATAGGTGAGGACAACATAAATAAACCCCTTTTGAATCGTGAAATAGGTAAGCAGAACGCTGCTGCTGTTTATTACGCATCCGATGATGACTACAGCTCTATACCCAATCTTCGGTAAAATCGCACCGCCAAGGGGCATGGAAATGCCCTGCATCGCCAATGCAATAGCTGAAATCCATACAGCCGAACCAACATCAAGATTTGGATCCACTCGTCTCTTTAAATAAGACATCATGTAGGGAGCAAGGTTACCTTATTTTGTTAAGATGCAAACCTACACATACCAATGGTGTAAAAATGTCCATAGGAAAAATGAATTAGTATCCCTCCAATTACAGACAGAACGCCAAGTAATAGATCTTTTTTAAATACCTATAATACGGATGTGAGCAGAAAAACAGGACAGACCATTGATGGAGCTGCAAAGGCGCGACCTTAATGCAGTATTTGCAAGTGCAGCTTGTTAAATATTTGATTTAACTGATTGATATAAACATATTAATTGGTTGATCTTACGTCTAAAAAATTTGTACATTTACAATTTATAATTTGTAATTTTAAGTTTTTGGATATAAATGAGAAACTAAGGAAATTTTTTGTGCGTTATGCAATAATAATGGTTTAAATTTTATTTTCTTTCGATTTTACTGTAAACCAGAAAATATTTCATGTCCTATCTAAAGTTATAAAAATTGTTGACGAACACGTTCTTTTCGATGGCTTGTACCCTGAAAACTCTGGCTTCTGGTTCTTCGCCCACTTTCTGTCACCACGAATTTAATAAAGCCTACCGTTAACATGTGGATTTAGCATTTTCTTACGCTAGAGATTGGAGAAGCAAATAAGATTAAGTTTGACCAGAAGGCCTTTCCACGTGTAGAAGAGCCAGACGAATACCCAAGTGATCTAGCCTGTAAAGGAAGCGTGAAAACATTAGTATATATACATGCACCCTTTCTTCTTAAATGCATGAATTTAGTCTCGCTTTTTCTTGCAAGTAGGGAAAAGTCCCAAGGTGCTACAACAGCAAAATACTCAAATTGCATTGCATGCACTCAGAGTGCATATTTCTGATGCAAAGTTCCAGACGTCTTTAAAATTTGCATGGGACAAAATCACAGCACCTTATCTAACTCACCTTGTTTTTATTTACGGATTGTCAGCTGAAAAACAGATAGGAGCGTCCTCGTATGTAATATCATATGCATTACGCATGCATCCGAAATGCATTAGACCATTTAAGTGGCGCGCCTAAATTGACTGACTGTATATATTTAGTAGGGTTGTCACGCTCTAGCCGTTTACACCAATCCGTACATTTCATCATCTCATCCCTTTCTACTGCCTAGTCCAATAGGAATTCAGAGGACATGAGCTACAAAAGAACACCCAGATTTCTAAGTCTACAGGCACTTTTACGTGCAGAGATGCTTGCGATGGTCTTGGCTCGTTTGATGTTACTGGCTCATGTAGATGGGAACATACTCCCGCCTAGCCTGCCCTTCGCTGTTGGTGGAACATCAGACACCCGACTATTGTGGCAGAGACTGGTTAGCAGCTATGCTCAAAATCGGAGGAACCACTTAACTGTAGGATTTTATGGTTAATCAATGTTGATTGTACAGCTTGTAGTACATGCATTGCATGCTAAAGATCAAACGCAAAGCGTTGAGGATAGTTTTGTGAGACAGTTAGTGGCCAACGACGTGAAAATTGGTTTTGCATCGATATGAGAATTGAAGATTGTGTAATGCATAACAATTTACCTGTTCATAAAGTGGTTGTGAAAATTTAATTGAAATCTTGTTTCAAGTTCTTAATTTTAGTGAATAGCTAATAAAAAGTCTAACAGTCAAGGTAGATAGTCTACAGCTCGAGCCGTTTTACCGTTTTATGCTAAAATTGCCATTAGACCTAATGCGTTTGCTCTTGAGAGACTACGGCTAGACAGTCCATTGAAGTGATCATCAAAGCTGATTGGTATTTGGCCTCGATGTTTACCAGCTGCAGGTTTCGGAATGTGAAAATATCCCAAATAATATGAAGGTGAACAGGCCATTGCCATAGACATAGACTACGATAGAGCATAACTGCTGACGAAGGTCACTTTATTACTGATTTAAGAAATACAATTATCTCCCAAAACTGACTCCCGTTGTAGATCATTCCTTCCATTTCGACTATTTCTCATGCTGATACCGTCACACCGTCGAAGAGCTTGGAGGAGCATTCAGCATTGATAGTGGATTCCTCCGCAAAGCCAAATGATGTCACCTCAGGTTACACCATTTTGCCTTTCGCCTTTGCGTGAGTTCTTAAGAGCGTCATCTCATCCTTTCCAGAAATTTCATGTTACCATGCATGTCCCAAATTTAGCTACCATTTAAATTCCTTCATATTGCTAAAATAAAATTTCCTTCGGGTGAATTGTGTAAAAATAAAGATAAGAACTACAATTAAGTCTTGCCTAATTGACCTCAGAAGCTGTTACTTACAAATTGTCAAGAGGTGTCAAAAAGGTTTTGCTACTTTTATGCGTTTTATCATTCATTTTAGACCTCTCATGTTTTCCTACAATCTGCCAGATCTGCCAAGTGACGCAGGAGTCACCCTTAGCCTCAGTGACATTTCGGATATATTTACGGGGAAACTGCAATATTGGAGTGACATCCGAATAAGACAAAGAAACCCAGGTACAGTTCCTCTGCTGTACGACAGTGTGTTCTGTAAGCCATAATCCAGTGGATCCTTTTTCGTGCAACCATAAGGACAAGTCGTGCATGGGAAAGAGTTCTACATTTGGTTTTTTATTTGTCATTGTAAATTGCAGATCTGCCGTTCATTCGTCAGCCCATACATCTGATTCTGCGTGATGACAATTGCAGCGAAAACATTGCTTTGACTAAATTCCTCTCCAACGTCTCCGGCATATGGCAGCTGCAGTATGGCCTAATGAGCTCTATGCAGAACTTCAAAAGTCCTAGTGGCCTTTCTGTCTATCACACAATTTTATCGTCTGGAGTCTTCAGTCTTGTGAATTCCGTGCCTTACTCGATTGCTTACTTTCGGGGCAGTGCCCCTTCCATCCCAACAGTTTCCCTTCAGCTTAACAATGGAATAACGATCGGTGCTTCAGGCGTCAAATGCACCGAGAAGGAGTTTCAAAACGACAGTGTAAATGCATCTGACGCAAATTATCCCCTAGCCTACACTTTTTACGTCGCTTTTAAAAAAAATTTACTCATCAGTCCATATAATACTTCAGTAGTGGACAAAGACCCATTGGAGCGCTTTAGTATCGCATGTCGATTGCAAATAGAACTCTATCGGTTTCTTCTCTGGCTAACTTCTTCCGAATCTGCCAGGGAACTTTTATATTTTCATGGTTTTTGCCAGATCAGAGGAAAAAATATTTCACAAAGTTTAAACGAAATGTCTTGCCGTAACAAACAAAACTGCACTGTATCGGCAGAGGAACTTGCAACCAAGGATGTGTATTCTAGAAGCCGTATTTGGGAGCACATTGTGAATTCGAAGGATGAGTATAGAGACCTCATATTCACCCTTTCGACCACGTTTGCGATTCTTCTTGTGGTTTCCATCTTCCTCTTCATCTATCTTCGCTCCCACTACCACCCTCTTTCGGAGTATATAATCAGCATTGAGCTGATGAACCAGTCCAGCAATTCCGACGCTACTCAAACATCTCCTCGTGATTTTCAACTTAAAAACGCAGCCTTTCTTGAATATGCATTTGGAAACAATCCAGATTGTGGTGTTTTAAAATCGCTCTGTGCTTCCAAGAACTACAGGAAAGGTATTATCAACACTTGGATTTATGCTGACTCTATTCTTTCAACCGCACCGGTCAGTAGACAATACAAGGGCGTTGACGTCCTCCTCATACCAACGAACATCCGATCGACCAGTAAGCTGATGGAGAAGCGTCGGCTAAATTTGAAGCATTACATCAATGTCGACCATGAAAACGTCCAGCGGTTTTATGGTCTTGCAAAGCCTTCCACCGCCAAGAATAAAATGCAACGCAACATTTGTACTTCAAAATTAAAGGAGAACCGTGAAAAACAGCAAGGAGGCTGTGCAATAGCACAGGGCTACTCTGAATCGGATTTCATTCTCCCTTGGATCTTCTACATTATTGTGGAGCCCTGCGTCCGTGGTAGTCTCTTTGAGTTGCTTCACAGTGGACAATACGAAATCTCTCAATCTATAAAGCTGAACTTAGCCTCGGATATTGCCTCTGGAATGGCCTATCTCCACGGCAAAAAGCTCATCCATGGAAGGCTGTCTAGTTTAACGTGTCTTTTAAATAGCCGATGGATAATTAAAATTGCCTGCTGGGAAAACGTAGAGAATTTGGTTCAACCAGAATTCTTTCCCGGTAAACACAGTATAAACAGGGGTATTTCTCGATGTAATCTCAAGATCTGCTGGCAACCGGAACACCTACGACTGGTGTGGAGGTCGCCAGCTCAGTTGAAATGCTTTATTGTAGCACAAGAAAGCTCGAGAGCAGTAAACCATACGATTTTACGTCAGGACACCATGGAGACCGAGCGTAGCAGAGTCGTCGAACCGGTGGGCACTGGTGTGGAAGCGGGCACGGAGCGTGAGCATGCATCCACAGCATGCGACGTCTATAGCTTTGGCGTGATTCTCACGGAGATATGGAATCTGGAGGTGCCTTTTCAGGATGCACTTAATGTCTACCAGCACGAATACCAACTCGCAGAGGCAATTTGCAACAAAGTTTACAAACCCACCATTTCGCCAAATATGCCTTCAAAAGTTAGTAAATGATGAAGTTGTAATTATTTTAGGACGCAAAACACAATCTTGTCTAGCGGTTCGCCAACGGTAGTCATGATGCAATTTGAGAGTTAAATGACTTCAGAGTTATTGGTGGTAGGAGTGAAAAAAAGGGCAATATGAACGAGTGCCTAATTTTACAGTAGATGGCATGCATCTCTCCCTTTTCTTCATTATCAAAATTAAGTAACTCAAATTCAGCCAAATTAGTATTTTCCAACAAGTCTTGAAGAATGGCAACTCTGTACGGAACTTTTAACCTGTCACATTAAAATCAACCACAAGCACTCACCACTTGGCATGTGGATTGGCCTTCAATTACTGAGGCTTCTTCTTCCACCACCCATTTCTGGACAGGTTTTTTTTGTAATTTGCTAAATATGCAAACCTGAGCAAGCCTAACTGGCACAGGTTTTATGGCTTTTGTTAAAGAGAGAGACATTTCGTGTTCAATTGCGTGCAAGATGTTACGCGATGGGCAGAGCAGTCTCTTATGTCCTAAATAATTCAAAACTTTTGAAAATTTGCCTAGACCTTTGACCTGCCCTGAATAATTTTGCTTTCAAAAGAGTCTTCACAGAATTACCATTTACCATGAAGTACACAAAAGGACAAAAATAATTTCAAGAACTCATCCAGGTCTCCAATGCGATGATTGTGCTAGAAAGACTCAAGTGCGAATACATGAGGAGGTAACTTTATGTTTGTATTTCGTCTAGCAACGGGTTGTGGATTCGGAGTTTGTACAGAACTCATTAGAACAGCGACCGTTCTCGTTCTTGGTAGGCACGAATTCAGGCCGCATTATAGACGGTCGGAGGATTTGTAACTACTCGGATTTGTAAGGAAGCGTGTTGGAGACTTGGATATGACGGCTGAAAGAAGTAATCCCTTAAAAACGCACGTATTTGAAGCTTTCATCAGTTACCCTGCGAATAACTTCGGTTTCAGTCAAAGACGTTGGTGATTACGACGCATCTTTAAGCTACTGAAATAACACTTAACTGTATAAGCAGTTCCTGATTTTCTTCTTCCACCATGTTTCTTTTTTTAAGATTCGTGAGGTGACGGAGTTGTGCATAGATCACCTGGAAACACAACGACCCAGTTTTCGCAACATCCTCAAGACCCTGGCAAGCCTCGTGCCCAAGGGGCGATCAGTTGCCCATCACATGATTCGAGCGGCAGTTACGTAAGCTTGACTGAGGAAGAACGCCATCAGAAGCATGATTGCACTATTTATGATCTAATGAATAAGTAACTTTCAGCATACTGCCATGTGGATTGGGCAGAAAGTGCAAAACTATAATATTAATTATCAAATGTAGTGGCAAGGCAATCCTAAGAGCAAACCAAAAAGAGACGGGTCCTCGCCCTCACTTCACATTTGCCATTATCGATTGACCGCAACCTTATGACAAAAGTTAAATTTAGAATTCTTTTGTTTAAAAAGGCGAGTGAACGATTTAGACGCCAACTGCACCTTGCGGGAAAAGGAGGTGACCAAGAGGAAGGCGCGTTTGTGCCGGAAGTTGGACAGTCTTTTCCCGCGTGACTACAGCCTTGAACTGGTGTCGGGTTCGCTAACTCCGACGCCTTCCGCTACGCCGCAAGATGTTCTCATTGCTGTGATCAGTCTGGACCAGACTTTTCTCCAGTCTGCTGCGCTGGCGGATGAGAAAATTGTGGGTCTGGTAGCTCAGCTTTAATGACCCCCACAAAACTCTCACGTTGTCTAGTTAACTCTCCTAGTGAAAAGTATTGTCTAAATTTGGGTTACTTTAAAAGGGTCAAACCTGACACGTCGATTTAACGGACAATCTGCATCAAGAGTCCTCTCAAACACTTCATCCCCAAATTATTGTCCCATTGAATTTCACTACGAAAATACCAAGTCATCTTTCATAATTTGCCACATCTCCGCCCCACTTTTAAACGCATTCTGTTTCTTACCCTTTGATTGAGAGCGGAGGTTATTTGTCTCCTCCAATCTGCCTATTGAAGTTTTACGTGGAAGAACAGCAAGGAAGCCAGAAGTCACCGATTAACGCCTTAGACGGACATTAATAAACCTTTCTACGTGTTCGGTGGTGATTGGGAATTGTATGTCGAATAGTCCTCGCCTTTTTGATTCCTCAAAGCTTCTGAATGCAATGGGAAATGCTTCAAAAAATTTTGCTCTTCTCCAGACTGTGACAAGGTTTTGTGGTACATGCATTGTATTCTCATACTACTTTTGAAAAGTGGACTTGGTTTCAGGTTATGCGGGAGCTGCAATGCTTGAAGCAGATCGTCGAAAAGCATGCAAATGATCCTCTGTTGAGATGTTTGGCAGCTCCTGGTGAGTGGTAAAAGGTCAATTCGTCATTCATCTGCATTACTTATATCAATGCGATTGCTATTATTAACGCGTTTATTGCAATCACTCCAATTTATAGCAATGCAAATTCATAGGTCTAATAATACCGTAGGTCAAAAAAGGTGCTTTTCTTGCTCGTAGCCTGCACAGCTTCAAATGAGTTGGTGGAACGAAGAGAATACGGCGGTCAGTGTTTCTCTCTGACAGATTTCTTTAGCATAAAACGCTGTTAACGCATTTCTTCCACTTTTTAGCATCAACACGTAAAGTGAGCAAAAGCATTAATAAAAAGTGTTGTTGCCTTTAAGCCTAATCGTCAAATGGAGCCGCATCAATTAAATACTGTGAATACGAATTATGAAAAGTGGGAATGAAGAGGGCTGCGCGACAGATTAGCAATTGAATGCCGTGCTAGGATGATGGAGGATGGAGTAGAAATTAGTTCGCAAAAATTTTCTTTCAAGTACTGCCTTGGCACCTGCTTCGGGAAGCGCACTCATTAAGATAACAACCAATTGGCGGGCATGTTTTCTAAAGCCTATCGGTTGACTTTCGATTTGCCATCTTGCACAGTGAAATTAGGAGAGGTTGATTCAAATCAGCAGTACTGTAGCTCAATAAGGGCTTTCTTTCTACGATCCTAAAGTAGATATGGCCGTTCTTCTTCCAAGCTACGCCTATGCAACAATAGCATAAAAACTGTCAAATTAGTTATAGCTGTTAAGTGGTTGAAATTTTCAAAAGTGGACTTCCTTGTAAACAAGATTTTTGACTGTGTACACATTGATCCAAAAAAGGCGGATTTGAAAACGATGGCGTATGTCTTGTATCGGTGGCACACAACGAAGTGAATTCGCCTGGACCGACAGATGCACAGCTGGTTATTCACTTCCTCCGGGTCATCTGTCAAGTTGAGCGTGACTTCGTGGCTGCTAGCGCATTTCAGCCCGCCTCGCATCCCAAATTCTGTGCCGTATTGCATCGAGCCAGGATCGTTTTCGGACCGCTAGGCGTCTATCTTCCCTGGTCGGTGGGACTTATAACATATTCTCCACCTAATTGACCATTTCTGCTTAGTTCAAGCATCATAACTCCAATAATGTCCGTTGAATGGGGAGTGATTGGTGGCTCTTGGAAGGGAGTTTTTAAGAAGCCCAAGTAATGTTCAGATTAAATGCATTTTACAACTTTATCGAATTTTAACAAGTTTAATGCATATGGAGGACTACAAATTTCCAAAAAATATCCAAAGACACTTGCAAAATGAGAAAATAGCAGATTTGGTCGATGACTTTTTCAAAGAAAAGATCCAACATTTCCTAACTCACTGCTCAAAAGGCATTTACTAGTAGATATTTGGCCACATAGTCAGCTGATTCACCGAAAAATGATCGACTTTGACATAAGCTAGTCACTGTGGTCGCTGGGTGCTGCATTCAGCTGGAGTAAGCAGCAAGAAGTGAGCACCTCACTACACAATATTTAATGCAAAGCAGACAACAGTGTCCATCTGCTGGACAAATTAGCAAACATTTCTGAAGGGCATAAGGGAAAGTCAGGATTCAAAAGGTCAAACACCACAAAATTATTTTACATTAAACAGTCAATTCGTTTATGGCGGTGCACTGGAGGATGTCTTCGAACTCAAACGCTACGCGAAAGCAATGGACGTGCTGGTAACTTCCAAAGTTACTCCCAAAATTAAACACATTCTGAAGGAATTTAAGGACTACACACTAAGAGAAACTTACAAAGTCCAGCTTTGGGTAAGTAAAAAAGAACAGATAAATCTCAAGTTGTGGCTAACCGCACGTGCTCCTCGAAGAGGTCTTTATTAGTAGATCAAATAAAAACCAGATTAGGTTTTTATATTGTGTAATGTTTTTCTTTAAAATTTTATATCCGTTTCCATAAGTCAAAATTAAAATAAACTGTGAGAGTACTTGTTTCTTGTTTGTAGGGGACCAAGCCATTGCAACTCTATGTTCTTCGCTGATGTACTGTAATTGGCAATGCCAATTGCACTGAACATTCTGCAAAAAAATATAATTTCGTTTTAAAAAGAATTGCCAAATACTGCGAAAACGATTTATTACTTAAATCGGGAAATTTTTACTAGGAAGTTTCGGTGCAATATATCCTTTTGTAGCATATGCAGAACATGTCATTACGACCGTCAAGCGGAGTATTGGTTCTTGTAGGGCAACCCACTACACTGAGGCGTCCCGCTTCGTAAAACTCCAACGCCAAATAGATTGTTTTTCATTTTAGCTTAAAGACTTAGAAAACAGCATACTTAATAGAATTGATTTGACTCATCTGAATTCCTTTGTCCTTCCCTTAACAGTGAGCATTGGACAGAAAAAATATAACCTTAAAAAGGCAAGACGCAGTCTATTAATGGGAACCCTTATTAGCGTAAGCTTATTTAAATTTACATAAATTTAATGTAAACAATCATTTTAGCCAGTAGGAGGTCGGCATAGTTCAAAAACTGAGGATGCTAGGGTTGAGAAACCATTCAAGCATAGGAAACATGGAAACCTGCCTCCTGTACAAATTAGAACGAGGAGAGGCGACAGACACAATTAGTGAATAGTGGCAATCAAGGCGGATTTAATGTTCAAGGTGGTGGACAATTAAATAGGCTTAAGTCCTGTTGAAGTTTTGGCTATGTTTATAAGCAAGGTCAAAAAATACAGTCTTCACCTTTGTAATAAAGCAATTTAGCGGCGCGCTTCAGCGCGTAAAATTAAATTATCTATTGAGTCTTTTAGAATTTCATTTTAATTTATGAGAGTACCTCTGTCGAAACCAATAGCGCTATCAAAAAACTTCTGACTAGAATTTTGCGAAATAGTTTACGTATTTTTTTTGCATACAAAGCTAGATTACAAGCAAACGTATCAAAAGCCAATACCTCAGGTTACATCAAGGCGAAGTTTTACATTCACTAACCGATGCAACTTATCATATTTAATCGCCGGTGTCTAATAATTTACGCACTATCATTTAAAACAGATATAACTAATTTCAATAGCGTTTACAAGCTCGTCCACAGTAAACCAATGAAAGCCGAATCATAAAGAACATTTATTCAGGGAGGACGAAGTGATCACAAGGGCCCCAAACTTGTTATCAGTATTGACCGAAAATTTCCTAAATGCACTGAAGAAACCTTAGTAAGACTTTAGTCTTCAGATGCTCGAGCATCAAAGGACAGGTTTTTTAGTGTACGCTTGCAAGCATCGATTGTCGAAACACAAGCTCCAATTTTTTCGAAAGTGTTCATAATACCAATTCCAAGTTCTTGAGCTTTCTCATCAATTTCCTTTTGATCATTCATAGCTTGCAACTCAAGCTCACTAAATAAAAAGTTTATCTAAAAGCTAATAAAATACCGGACTTGCGTACCCGTTCAATAACGTACTCACGGCAGGCGCGAAGATTTTCCCAAAAGGATGTCCGGGAACTTTCCAAATGGTGCATTAGCTCACTTGACCGTGTTTCAATATCATTCTTGAATAGTTCAAAGTGATCAGTACAATTGGTTGGTTCATCCATTACAGAATTCTACAGAGAATGAGCCAAATATTCCTCATGATATCAAGCAAAATAAATACATGAAGTTAGTAATGGCACCATACCACTAAAACCCTACTTTAAATCAAACTTAACTAGACACATATCATCCCTACTTGAATAATTTAGCAACAGAAAATTTAAGGTAAACCAAGGTCAAACTTCACAAAACTGCAGAAATGGCGACAAATGCGCGACAATATAGAGACTTTCCGAAACAGCCAACGAAGCTAAAGCAAACAAACAAAATGAACACAATTTCTAATGTCAATAATTCCTCTGACAGCAGCAAAATAATGATTCTGCGACCACATCAAAGATTAGACAAGTAAAGGACCGCGTAGAGATGCGTGAAGTTATTGCAGTTTATTTAGGTGTCAGAATAAACTCTATGATTATTGTAGGACCTCCCACCCTACCCTTAGAACCCTGAACCTCTAATTTCAAAAAAGGGTGGTTAGGAAGATTTATTTGACCTCTTGTACAGAATAGGGAAGGAGGTTATAGATGAGACACCAAGCTTAAGACCAGGGTCTTATTATAGCAACTACATCGCTTCAAAATATGCAGTAATTAAAGTTGAATGTAGATATTATTTGCACCATCAAAATGATTGTGCACTTAGAATGTTGCAAATGATTTAAGATGCTTTTATGAACACTTATTATTTTTGGACGCGTGAAACCATATTTTAATTCGAATTCATGATATTAGTAGTTTGTAATGGGTTTTTATCAGGCTCAAAGTCATTCTGTTTGTGAATTTATTGTTTACATTGTTTTCCTGTCCCTCAATCGGCGCAGTCGCTGGTCGAATCGCCGATTGGCTAATTTTAAGATTGCCGGTGTATTTGTTACCGAATGCATGTTTTAGTTCACACAGTTTTCAAATTCCGTTCTATTTTACCCATTTCATTTCACAAAGCTATCTGTTTCTCAGTGCAGTGCAGATCCTACTCTGCAATCGTGCCTATCGCTCCATATCTGCTGGATCGTACTAAACCTCCTGAAGAAATACTAAAGAATTTAACTCCTGATGATGCTCGGCGACTTGAATACATTAAAGCCGAACACGATATGCTTCTCGCTAGTGGCAAACCTGCGCCTCTGAATTTATCTGCCTTGGATTATCTGGAGCTTTTATGTTGTGCCTCACTCAGTGCTCGTAATCGGTACCACTTGTTTCGGTTCAAGGTTTCCAAGCGTAAAGAATCTAAGAAAGCTAAGCTCGCGATAAAGGCTGAGAATGAGGTATGAGAGCATTGATGTCTTTTATTGTAAGTCATCTAGAGAACTGACTCAAAAGAACCAGATTCTGCGCATGATAACATCTTCTCCGGTTCGCATGCACCATGACGATTGGGTGGGAGCTGAACTCCGCACTGCTGAAGATTCCGCTCAGACACTAGTTTTCGACTGCTCTCATGACAGCGAAATGCGTATTATGGATCAGAAGAATCTTGCACGCCAAATGGCAATGGCTTTTGCGCATAATCGAACAATCCGACCGTTCCCATTTCATTTTATGTTTACGAGCCTTGTGCCTGGAACTAATCAGTATCGCTTTTTTGAGGAGGCTTTCGGCACTTGTAGTTCGGTAAGTCTTATCTGTTCCGTTGTTGTGCATGGTTAAAAGAAAAGTCTTGTCTTAAACGTATCGCTTCCAGGTCCCCAGAATGCACTTTTTGGTGGGGTTAGAATATTAAAGTTAGTTATTCTAAATAACCAATTAGCTTTCGAATCTACAGCCCGGAGACTCGAAATGCTTGGAGAGTTGCCTCTTCACGGTAAGGTCTGAACACTTCAGTGAAGTGATGAAGGATCGCAAACTAATATATCTTAGTCCAAATGCATCCCGCTCATTCCAAAACGGTGAATTTGATCACGATGCAACATTCGTTGTTGGTGGCATCGTCGACAGGGCTATTCGTCGTCCCATCACGTATGCGAAAGCCCGCCGTGCTGGTACGTTTGTCCTTCATTTCCTGTCAGTACTTCTCCTTCAGTTTTAAGATAATTGGGTTTCAATGGTTCAACTGTTGCAGTTTATTCATTGGAATGAATTTGGGGGCTTCTTCACTTGATTAGATGCTGGGAATTTCGCTTTACCGTCCGTGATTCCATCTGGGAATTCAGATTGGATTGGTACATACTTCAAGGCTGTCTAGTTGGTAGTTTGTTTATTTTCCTTTCTAGTAGGTATTAAATGCGGCATAGTTGATCGTTGCGGTTATCAACTACGCTGTTGCTGCAGAGTCTTTGTTTGTTATTTGGCTTTTAAGTTCAGCTCTCATGTTCCCTCTAATGAAGGCGATGGATTCAAGCATTTCCAGGAAATAAGGCGTTTTATTTGTAAGCCGCTATCATGCGGGCTTTATTTATTCCTGATAAATCTTTGATGGAGCTTACAAATCAAATGAGATGTGCTTCGAAAAGGTTTGCACTGTAATTTTTAATAATTTTATTCATATTCCCTATCTGCTTTAAGGGAATCATGATATTTTGGTCCTTTTAAACATCGACCTATGGGATGCTACTACCTGATAATGAGTAGTCGATCGATTGCATTTTCAGGTTGGGAATGCATACGGCTTCCGTTAGAGCGATATCTGCACTGGCGCTCAGGCAGCAAAACTCTCACGTTAGTGACCATTCACGCTATTCTGGCCACAGCAAAGGAGACAAACGGGGATTGGAAGACTGCTCTGGAGCGAAATATTCCTTTGCGCTTTCTCCGAGACCACGATTCTGTTCAAAGAGATATCAACAAACTCTTCCAGAGCATCTGATCGTTGTCACTTGTTTTGGAATTGGTGGTTCTTGTACACAGGCTTCAATTGCACCAACAAATCGACGTCTTGCTACCCCATTACGTGTTATTAGGTCTTAATTATGGCGAGTAAATTCACTTTGACGCATTACAGAAGCATTTGGAATAATCTCATGAAAATCAGACCGTATGATAGGTCATGGTGTTCTTTATGCAACAGCAAAGAAATGCCAAACCCTCAGTTAAGGGTGGTCACAGTAGTGCTGCAATGACTCGTAGATAAGTCGCGGGGATCCACGTAATGACTTCAGTGGGCCGTGCATTGCATTTGTGCTCCTCTCTCAATGGTAGGAATCCAGTTCATAACCCATTTCTAATTCGGTTGGAAGTCCGTACAAGTTTTTCTAAACATTTAAACAAACTTCAGGAGTTGTGTATTACTATGAAGGGCTAGGTAACACTTTTATTTGCCTCATGAACAGCCTTTTAATAAAGTAACCCTTGGCAAAGATGGCAAAGTAAGTGAGCTGTGTCTAGACCAACCAACAAAGGTTGTGTAGCCTTAACACACGCACTGCATTCACTAACCCATCCAACTAACGGTGGACCTCATGTCCTCCCAACGCATCCCTCACTTCCCTCACAACGCAGAATGCGGCATTTGAAGCCGTCGATCGCCTTTGTTGATGTTGTAAACAGAACCTTTGTGTTGCCACCTCAACTCTCCTTAATGCGGCGCATATCTGCCACCGTAGTTACCCCAGTTCGTGCATTCACCCATCCACCCACACCTGCCCACTCACTCACCACCTACATCACACGTCAGGGGAACCGACTTGTTTCAGAAGACACGACATGTTCTGTGGAAGGAGTGCACCCTATGCAACCATTCACCCCAACTTCCGTACCACCGTTCCCACGACTATGCCCCTATCCATCCACTCGCCCAGCCATGTGGATGGTGGACGTCACACTGCCAATCCGATGGTGATGGGCGCAATCGGCTTCGTGAGGATCAGACACAAAGGAGTGCTCGTCGGTTGCACCGATGCAAACGACGGGAGGCACCATTGCCTCAAGGCATTGTGGTAATGCGTGGAGCCACTGGCGCCCACGAGGAGGCTGGTAGGGTGGCTGCTGCTGCTCTTTCATGTGAATAATAGCGTTGTCTGACAGTTGACACGAAGGCGAAGTAGAGCTGGCAGTTACGAAGAGGATTGTGTAGAGACAGATTTCGTTAGGTTCTCTCTTATTTTGGGGAGGAAAATTGTCCTCTACGAGTCATTGTTCAATCGCTTGACTTTGCATTGTAAATGGCGCATTAGGTTTCACCGTTGTCCTACATAAATAAATTAATATTCTTTTATGTCACCTTCATTTTATGTGTTCAATGATGTTCCATGAGTTTCACATCAAACCAAAATGCTTCTTCAGTGAGCATTTGAACCGTGAACGTACACTCGTTACTGCAACATTTCACTCCCACTTAGTAAGATTGTTTTTGAAGTGATAGGCTGTGTTTAGCCTAATTAAATACTCAAAGTGCTTCAGTAAGCTTCACACGCTAGGATATTTCAGACGCGTTTGCTGGGACTCGAATCAACTGCAGAAAATGTGCTGCAAAGGCGTTGATGCTTTACAGGCAATTGGACGCTTTGTGTACCCTCTCTGTAAGGCACAATCATGTTTTGTCTCGAGGGGCGAGACTCCTTCGCCAGGTATTACTGAAAATACTAATTCGGAGATTGCTGATAAACTTAGTACAGACAACGGGTGTATTGGAAGGTCTGTCTTTTTCAAACAAACGTTTATTTTTTGTTATGCGCAAATATTAATGCTGAACTGCATTTGACACCCAATCTTAGGTGTGGGGAAGTTAAAGACAGCTGTGCTTATTCTTCGATCTTAAGAATGAAGCGCTCGTAAAGCAAGTTCATAAATCATCGGCTGAAACTGTAGCAGAAACTGACATTTGGTGGTAATTTATTGGTCTGTATGACAAACAGAGGCCTCAAACCAATCGTCATAAGTCATGCATCAGTCTCCTTTTTGGTCCATTCGAGGTGATCAGTGTGATGTGTGCCTAAGGGAAAATGTGGAACCCTTTCCCAAATGTAACAATGTGCCATGGATGTTAGACACGCCCAAGTTTACGTGATTGTGTGGCTCAATGGGTGTGTTCCTCCCCAAAAAGCCAAAGCCTAGAGCACCTATGGGTCCAGCTTTGTTTGAGGACACGGAAGACCAACAATTATGCACTCAGTGGATAGTCTCTCATAGGATAAAGTCTATAAAGAAACCTTTTTAACAGTGGAAGCCGCAATCATAGAAAGTTGAAACAATTACCCAAAACTGAGCCATCACAGCTGCACCACTGAGCATCACTTAAAATTTACCATAAGCATTCCAATTGGGGAGTCCGTTGGCTGGTCTGAGAGCCTGAGACTCTCAGCGCCAAACTTGCCCCTTTAATTAACCTTTGACGAAGGAAGAACAGCCAAAGTGTGAAATCATAACTAAAATCGACGGCATAAACAAAAGCTTAAAAATACATATACCTATTTGGAATCATTCCTGTCTCGTTGGCGCCTCGAAGGACCCTATTAAAATGTGGAAAATGGGTTTACACCAAGCATGCCTGATTGAGTCCGTGCAATGCGAGCACATTTGGTAATTACAGCGAGCAAGGTTATCAAGTGAAGGAATCGTCATAGTGGGACGGGGGACAACTATTCGAATCATTTGACTTCCCTAAGGTTCATGAGTTAACACATTAAGAGACCACAAAATGTCTCATATTTTTTGCGAAGCAAGCTATACTCGTCTCCGTCCTATGTCATAAATCATTTCAACTATGGTCGAAGCATCTGTATCTAATGCAAGTCACTAAAATCTCAACACACCATAACACATACGCTCTCTCCTCTCCTTGCCTCTTTCCCAATGCTGGTCTGAGAGCACAGGAGCGGAGTGATCAAACTGTTCAGAATATGCAGTTTTCGCACCCAGCTGTGCCATTGTTCCAGAATACTATCCATACTTTCGTCGCTCAAACAAATATGTAACTGCATTTCAAAAAAATTAAAAACCGAGAAAATTTATAAACTACTTTATTGCTTCAATTTCAACTGATCAAAGTGATCTGCTGGGACGTCTTGACGCTTTCATTTGATTCCAGTCTTCTCAACGCACAATCGGGTGATTGACAGAAGTTTAAATCTTAAATGCACAGACCAAAGCATAAATTAATTTAAGTCTAGCGAATCCTGATACATTCAAAACGGGACGGAAAGCTGTTCCTCCTTCTGGTTAGAATTTCGAGTTAAATTGAATCGGTTTTGGGCACTTATGGATCAAGCAAGTTTAGATGGCAGGAGGTTGACATCTCTGAGTGAGACCTCAGGCGCACCTCTACTAACGGTAGCGTGCATGTTTCCTATCTCAAAAAAAATAGAGAATTCGTTTCATAAATACTGTTCTGCTAAATAAAAGGGAATGCTGTTTTTTGTTTTCTTTAACAATGAGCCATTTGTGATCAAGTCTTTTCAATCCTGTCCTTCGAACGGTAAAATGGTCGAAACGAAAGTAACGGCCCGACAAATGACCGACGCCATTATTTTGTAAACATTAAAGTACAGAAAAACAACCAAGAATAACAGAATGATATCAATGTGTCGTTGAATAGTCGGATAAATAGCTGCGATTTAGATCAACTCGAACTGCTTGTGACTTTAAACTGCATTTGTCGCTTTAACTGATTTGGAGTGAAATTTTTGAAACACTTAAAGTCACGAAAAAGTGGCGATGACTTCGATTATCTTCTCCACCCAAAAAAGCGCACAATTCCAACCCACCATCGCAGCTGATACTCTGATCATTGAGAGGTTGAAAATACTTTCCTTAAACTCTAATTTGCACCTTACTGTGGATGTGTGTGAGTTTAAAAATTTGTTCCTCACTCAAGTGTCGATTTTTAGGAGCTTAACGAGAGCTACCGCATCGCCATATCAACGCGAGAAGGCTGCATAGGCGTCTTTGTCGGGCTTTGCTTTCCATGAGCTTAATGTCCACTAAAACTGCTTAAATAAAGCGGCATGGAACCTTATGCCTCACCTGTTGCAATCTCCATGATAATGCAGCCTGCAGGGCGCAGATGTTGGGGTTTTCTTATGCCAACCACAACTGCACTACTGGACCAGCTGCTGTGAAGCTACGCTGCTTGGAAAGCAGGAAGTGCAGCCAGCCTTCAACAACTAATTTTTTTTTTTGCATCATTGTTCAAAGGGCCGTCAGCCACTTTGCAGCGCGAGCTTTTCCAAACGTTTATCGTAAAGAAAACGCAATACACCTATTCGTGATTGTAGGTTACGATAATGATGTCTGCTTTTTATGTCGCCATCCAACTGGTGTGCAAACATTTCACCTGTGTTGGGAGTAGTATTTGAAGGAAAGCTAGTGATAAGACAGATAACCACGTCATATAATTGGGATGCAGTAAATGAGGTGGGTGCAAGTTGTCTCCTCGTTTTATGGCTTAAATGGTTCGATTAAGGGATGGGAGTAGAACGATCCTTCTGTTGGGACATACGTCGACTAATTAACAAAATGTCAAGATCAGAGACTTTTGATTAGCTTAATCTTGCTTTCTGTCTATAGGAGGTAATCTAATATAAAGTTGCCACCCAGATTTGGTAGTCTGCAGCCTGGGAATTGCAACCACACTAATCGTGCTCGAATGCTTGCAAAGCCTATGGTTTCGATTCTGTTTCCTTCCTCGCGACTCGCTCTTCCACTCTAGTAAAAAGTTGTCATTCGGTCTCAGAAGTAGCCTTCAGAAACTGCAACAGTTTCTACCCATAATTTTGGCTTACTTCTTCATACTCTAACACTTGAATTATTTTACTCTTATTTCCGAGGCAAAACAAACACCCTCAGCCGCCTCTTGGTCGCAGAACCGCTATTAAAAGTATCGAGTCTAGACTACTAACAGGATATTAATTGAAGCGGAAATTATGCAGAACGACGAAAACGTGGGTCGAAGGGAAGTAGACAAATGGAGTACGCTGTTTGCGGTTGCCTCTAAAATTACTTTAACACACCCGCATAGAGCTCCTGTTCTATTCTAACCCATTCTCCGTGTTCCGGCTTAAAACATTTGATACCGTGTTGTAAAAACTCGTTGGATGTTTTTTTCCTTCCACCTTAAGTTAGCATTCACAGAACGTAGAGGACGTTTTCTTTTTTCCCCTTGAATAGGAAGCATTTGTTAGGAATGCATCACACCCTGGTGAATTGAGACCGAGCTGCGAGAAGCAATCTTGCCCCTGCGAAAAATTTTGGACCATAATCAACGAAAGTCGGCAAATTCATCAACTTCAAATTCGTATCATAAAGTCGCATCCAGATTTAAACTAACTGAATTAGTCAGGGAGAAAAAACAAACAAGCAAATGGAAAAAACCAGCCTCAAATCAAGTTTTGGCTCACGCCATTGCTGTTTCATAAACAATTGTCTGACACGGCAACTCTTGATAAAACCTGCCTTTTTTTTCCGTAAAAGTTTGGTAATCTTAAGATGTTTGCTTGTTAAGGCAACAGAAAGTTCACCGTTGACATTCTAAAGTGGACGAGCACTGCGAATTGTTTTAGCTGCAAAACGCGGCCACCCAAACTAGTGCTTATGATTTGGCGCCATTCAACATCACATTCCACAAATCCCATCATTCTGCCTCATGGAAAACTTAGAGCTACTTTTATGAGCTCCTTAAAAGTGCAAAAATGGTAAATCAGATGAGTTTTACACACTAATACTCGACAATGCTGCAAGCATTGACTTCAAGAGTCATACTTGACTGCATTTTAAACCAGCGGTTAAGGTGGTAAAGTGGTCGCACAACATTCAATCAGGAAAATCGTAGCCAGTGAAAAGTTCTAGGAAGAAGGGAGAAAGCTGTTGATTTCATGTAAGTGGAAATAAGTGAAAACGATATTAAAGAAACTTTAAAAAATTAAGAATATAATGTTAGACAAAACATTTAAAAGTAATTAAACTTAAGTATGTGAGCGAAAGATATTATTGTCTAGGATTACCGTAACCTGCTTCAAAGTTAATCACCCTTAAGGTCTGGCCTAACTCCAATGCACGCATTTAAATCCGTTGTGCCAAAGCAACCATAACAAATGCTGACCGAGGAAATTAAAATCACCCTTAACGCCGCTTCCTCCTTCTGGCAGTGGTTGATACCACTCTGCAGAATCTCACAACTTGTTGTCTCTGGCATGCCTGATTGTTATTGGAGTGCGTGTAGAACATTTCCGCTAAGGATTGAAGCTAAAATTTTGGCTTCCAGCACAATTTCCTACCAAAGATAACCAATAGAAATTGCATGCCTTTACCACCTAAACACATGCCACTGTCGGTGAAGCATATAATTATTGTGCCGGAGTTGAGAACCGAAGGGCGACTAAAGCAGTGCTTCTTACCGACGTCAAGAGCACACTGTTTGCGCCAGTAAAATTTGACAAACCACTTTATCGCCTCAACCTTATTTCCCAACCCGTGTTGAGTTAAATGCGCAACGGTCATGCTAATATGGAGTTGAAAATCCTTCCTGATAAAAAGCTGAGAAAATGCAAACTCAAGATTCCATAAGACCTAGAAACATGATTTTATTCAAGATAATTTTTCAATACGTTCTGCTGTGACTGCACTAATGCCCCACTGTTTTCTTGATGATCGAAAGTGGAAACCACCCTCATTCCTTTCAATTGCGGGCTGCTAAAGCAGCGCCTATTTTACCCCGATTTTGCAAAATTGGATTTGTTTCAAAGCAATTTTCTTCACCATTTCTACAAACATGTTCTCTTCGCAAACATTTAAGCATTGCACTCGTATTTTGCGTTCAGGATAGAGCCTTCCTTTGGCAATATGTTTCGAGAAATGGTTATGGTCCTGTGCGGCCTTTCATAAATCGTTGACACTTCTAGCATGTCTGGACTTGTCAGAGCACTACACCACTGCGCTACACTGTGCTTCAGGCAGTAATGGGAGACGTAGCGGTAATCACACGTTCGAGTTCAAATATGCCTTCATTACAACACACCATCTCCTACGGACAAGCACTTACAAATTGCGGTGTCTACACCAGTCTACCATGCAGGCAGGACATTAGTGGCTGAACACGTGATAGACATTACTGTGTTCAACTTAACATCCGCCTTGACGTTTCCTGCTTGCCTTTTATTAGTAAGTGCTACTCATTGTCCCAACCAGCATCTATAAGTGCCTTGACTGCACCAGCTCCAGCGCAGATCAAATCGTCTCAAAAAATGTCTCTTCTCTTGCACAGGTCTAGCACCCCTGCTTACTTGTGCTATTCAACGGCCACGCCTAATGCATGAGGCGAGTGCCCACCATTTTCGAACAAGCAAGCGGATACTTCTTAACTTCACAGCTAATTAATAAGAAAAGTGCTTCGCTCCCCACTTCATTGCAACTCCGAATTATGGTTTGCTGTGTTGCGTTTAATCTATCAAAATATCTTCGCTACTTTAGTTGTCGGTCTAAAACTTATAAAATATTCAATGGATGGACCTGGATGTAAGGCCGGTCTTAACTAATGAGATGAGGCTCAAAATTCTCCATGGAGAAGGCAAATCATTTTGCATCCGTAGCCACTAACAAAGAGAGAGGAATGATTAGGCTTTTTGAGTCCTATTTATGCGGCTGTAAACAGAATCATTTGGGATTGGCGAGTTCCGCATTGCCGAAATGTACCAGATAGAAGTAAACATATCCTGTGTAATTTATGCGGAGAACGCTATCAAGATCAAATAGAGCCCTCCAGCAGCATTTTGGGGGGAAATAACAAGACGACAACCAAGTAGCTAAGCATTCTTTGTTTAAAGTAACTTTTTATACAACCTCTCTTGAGAGCTTTTCCTCATACCCCGTAGGCGTTATGTCTGGTTCAGCGGTTCATTTGGAGCAAAAGCTACAGAAATTGACGCTTAAATTTACCTAACAGTGTGAATAAAAGAATTACATTTCCTTTCTCTTGCGCCAAAGAGTTTGTATTTTAAGCGAAAAATTCCTTAATATTAATTACCGATTTGCAGAATTAATGATTTTCTTTTAGGCGTCTTTTTTGGCACAAAACAATGCCAAATTTTCACCCGTTTTGAAATGTGATGTCATAAAAACTGGTAGACAGTCGGAAACAATAACGTGTCTAATGTAGTGGAAAAAGATTTGCCTTTCTCTCTTAATGAATACCGCCTTCCCTAAAGTAAGGTGATTAAACTCAGAATTTTATCGAAAGGGTACAACGATGGCTCGTGCATCTTCTTTAGGCCAATCAAATTAGCCAACTGCAACAAATGGAGAAGTCGACTGGTATTACCTTACAGTCTTAAAAGTATCGTTACTTAAAATGAACCTACAGCCTCACTTAAGAACACACTTGTGAATTTTTTTGAGTTTTGTTTTCATTTGTATTGTCTGGTCGGCCTAACCAATTCCTTTGATTAAATCTTGTCACAAATTTTAGTTGCCCAGTGAAGTTGTCAACAGTCACACAGATACCTCTGCTTGGAAGAACAAATTACGCTCGAAGGCAGATGGGCACGACATTGGAGATAAAGGTAAAAGTCATTGGAATGGCTCCTTCCTGGGTCCGATACTTAATATTGCTTGTTCTAGATTTTGGCTTTCATCCACAACTTCAATATTTATTCCGCAAATCAAAACCTAGCATTGCAGTGATTTATAACCCAGAAAATAAGCTTCTATCGCAATAAGTCCACCTCTTTTTAGGTTTTGGGCATAATAGAGAAGCCCCCGTTTCTGTAAGCTATTACTCCTGCTATTTTTTATGAAATGTATTATGTAAGTCTAATTAGATTTGGCATTCTTTTATGTAGGAAGGCCACGTGCTGAAACACCATTCATGCATGGCGAATCCGTGCGCAAATCGTCAGCATTTGAGCACTCGCCTCCCATTGGACACCACGTCGGTCGGCCAATCAACCCATTCGACGTTGAAACATGCTTTTGGTAAGTGATGAGATTTTCAAGTCAGTTTCTCATTAACCATGAAGAGTTTCAGTTCCATTGCAGCCAAGTCTAACTGTATCCAGCTTCATCGTTTTGTTCGGCTGGGGGACAAGGCAGACAGTCAAGTTTACACATTTATTGTACCATCTCAGTTGACGCGCGGCTTCATTAACACTGCCCAATCCAAGGAGTTTCCCTATGGAGGACAGAGCTGGCAGCTGCAATTGTCCTTGCAGCATGATGATGTTCCGACAAAAGGTACTGACGACAACGTGGTAAATGGATGCGAGTCCCCACGACCCATTGGACAGAAGATGTATCTTAATGTCGGCCTCACTTTGTGTGGTGGTCTAGCCGGCATGTACTGCAAGCTTGAAATGATTCGTTACACCATTTTAAATCGTGAGTCAATTCACTACAACAAAACTCATGAGGAAAGGCATGTAGCATTTACAGCTGAAGATCCAACGCGTTGGAAACATAACTGGATCGGAACCGACCGCCTTGCAGCTGAACGCTTCTACTTCGACGACTGGACATGGCTGATCGAAGTGGAGCTTCAGGGTGCAAGCACAGCTTATGAAGAGCTTTTTACCTTACCCAAAAATGGACAAAAGGATGGTGCCAGTGGACTTCGGTTGGAGTCTGCTAGCTTCACCTATGCTGGCTCAGACTGGAATGTGAGTTTGAACTGGCCCCCGGTGGACAACAAGAAGCACAGTATTGTAGCTTTCATGCGTCAGGCAAGAGGTACTAGTGAGTCTAGTGGCAATTCTGTTTGTCCAAGAGTGAAACTTCAGCGCCATAGTCGAACTAATCACTGGTGCCGGGTTCGATACAAAGCGACACTCATTTGGGGCTCTGTGGGAGAATCAAGCTTTGGGCCAGTGGATCACCTCATAACCGCTGACAACGGGGCAACAACTGCTGGTTGTGAAATCGGTGACCCCAAGTGGTTTGCCACAGGTCCACTGCCGGCAAAACAGCGCATCAAAATAATTATTGAAATGTTAGCGGCTGCTCCAGTCTCTCGAATTGATCTTATTCCTATTGCACCTCAAGGTGGCAAGAATTTTGCTCGTTGCAAAGACCCTGATGGCCATGAATGGATGGTTTTGAGTGACATCCTCGGCACTCTGGTACGTCTCCGATTTTTCCCAGTGGTAGAAGTTCATCACTACGAAAGCCACCCGGGGGGTAGTGGTGGCAGCATTTGTGGTGGGTCTCTGAAAGATGGCTCCTCCTCGCAACTTCCTGATCGGCCCTGTGAGTTGCGATGCGTAGCTTGGAATGTACACCTTATCCCCCACGATACATCACGAGGCGTGGTGAAGGCTCTGAATTCGCCATACGTCAGCTATGTGCCCACCTTTCGCTGCTATGTGGGCAGTTCCAACCCTGGACGAAGGGCTTCGGAGGACCTCTCAGCAGACAGCCAACAGATGATGATTCACCCTGACGAGGTGACTGAAGTCGCCTTGGATCTTCCTGTTGAAAAGGTATGTGCTTCCTATATCTATGTTTATGCGTAGGTTTTGCAAACAAAAAGAGAATAAGTTGGCAAGAGTTAAAAATTAACATCAAATGAAGAACGGGATATTTTGCATAGCATCATCACATTTCCAACTATTTTTGGATTGAACTCTGTAAATGCTAAGAACGCTCTCATCTATCGTATACATACAGCTTACATAGCTACTCCGCGAATGCAGATGCTTTTCAACCTAAATTTCGAAATAAATGGGCATATGTTATAAGCACCAAATTGGAGGAACGAATTGCCTTTTTATAACAATGAGGGCTCACGTTTGCGCAGAAAGCACTTGCTGCGACTTAAACTTTTTATGTGGAAGGAAAATTACTGACATTTTCACCCAATTTGTGACACCTATTTTGAATTCAAAAATACGCCTTGGGAGACACTCAATTGACAAGAGTATAAGCAATGGAGTTTTATTTCATTGTGACCCAAACATGACTTCATATTTGTGAGTTCAATGTTGCATGACATTCTTTAGACACCGACAACGCGACTGTATTCATATGAGGAAACACCTAACTCGCACCGTACACGTAACTTTCAATTTTATCAAGATTTTCAGCTACTTTTAGACTGGCCAATAGCTGGAACCTCACAGCTTGTGTTTTCTAATCATCCATCAAGGTTCCGACTCCGGCATTCGCGTAATAATCACGACAGTAATCTCGAATCTCACGAATACCCTGGGAACGCGTATCCATTAATCCCTTGCGATTGAAGAGCAATTAGCTTAGCCATTCGACGACGTTATCTTTACTAGTAGATCTGCAATTGCCTTAGTCTTACCCCTTTTATCAAGCAGCGGCTGCAAATGTAATACGATTCGCTATCAGCAAAAATTTACTATCGGCAAAACTTAAGCAAATGCAAAATTTCTTCATGGGGATTTGTATCCTGAAGTTGCTTCTGTCTTCATTATCGACTTATTTTCAATAAAATGGCGAAATTCGACTTATGTAAGGCATTATGGAACTTATAGGAAAAAAAAGAATCTAACGAAATCTGTCTCTATCACAATCCTCTAATTCGCCTTCGTGTCAACTGTCAGACAACGTTATTATTCACATGAAAGAGCAGCAGCAGCCACCCTACCAGCCTCCTCGTGGGCGCCAGTGGCTCCACGCATTACCACAATGCCTTGAGGCAATGGTGCCTCCCGTCGTTTGCATCGGTGCAACCGACGAGCACTCCTTTGTGTCTGATCCTCACGAAGCCGATTGCGCCCATCACCATCGGATTGGCAGTGTGACGTCCACCATCCACATGGCTGGGCGAGTGGATGGATAGGGGCATAGTCGTGGGAACGGTGGTACGGAAGTTGGGGTGAATGGTTGCATAGGGTGCACTCCTTCCACAGAACATGTCGTGTCTTCTGAAACAAGTCGGTTCCCCTGACGTGTGATGTAGGTGGTGAGTGAGTGGGCAGGTGTGGGTGGATGGGTGAATGCACGAACTGGGGTAACTACGGTGGCAGATATGCGCCGCATTAAGGAGAGTTGAGGTGGCAACACAAAGGTTCTGTTTACAACATCAACAAAGGCGATCGACGGCTTCAAATGCCGCATTCTGCGTTGTGAGGGAAGTGAGGGATGCGTTGGGAGGACATGAGGTCCACCGTTAGTTGGATGGGTTAGTGAATGCGGTGCGTGTGTTAAGGCTGCACAACCCTTGTTGGTTGGTCTAGACACAGCTCACTTACTTTGCCATCTTTGCCAAGGGTTACTTTACTAAAAGGCTGTTCATGAGGCACGGACATTGAATGTCAAATTTAACAGTACCTCTTGGTACAATAAGACGGTGTTGTTGTGTGGGCTAATGCTGAGCTGGAATGTCTTCAATTTTATTAAAAATAGCAGTACCTCTTATAGTCTGTCTTTCTATTATTTAACACAAGCTTCGAGAATGACGATAAGAACAAAGTCAACGAGTTGGCTGGACATGGCAACGATTCTGTCGCACCAACTAAATTTTAGCCGTTAATTAGTAATTTAAAATATTTGCAAGGTGCTGGATGAGACCCTTTGAATCAGAAGCGGCCGTAAAGACACTCAACTTTTGAATAGCCTTGCACACAAAATAATGGTTTGAGTGCAAATCCGTCATGTTAGTTGTCGAGCTTATGCTACATATGGCATGCCTCAGTGACTTGTATACTTCTGTCTTCCTTTGATGCACGGCAGTCGGTCATGAGCTAGTCGGAGAGACCAACTCTTTCTGATGGAATAAAAATAACACTTAAAATTAAATTTTGTCTTGTATCAGTAAGGTGCACTTATCCATCAGCAAATGATCTGTTTGGATCGCCTATTTTCTCGTTGCACCTTCATCAAATTTGTGCTTCGATGTAACAGTGTACAGACCCAAGACATAAATACGTGTCCAATCCCTCACAAGGCACTTTAAACGTGGATTGAATTTCTCAGTGTTGACATGGAGTGTTTGAGGAGTCACAACGCCCTGTCCCCTTTATTGCCTCATTACTTTGGTAACATGCACATTGTCTTCTTGCTTGCTCAGATATTGTGGTCGGTTGCTCATAAAATGAAAAGAAACAATGCGTTGCATAGAAAAGAAGTCGATTTTAGTGTAAGAGATAAAAGAACTGCATAAACTATTCCGAAAATTTCGTAAATGGTGCGTAAGTCGACGTAGAATGCGATCGGTGGTGGGGATGCATTGGTTTTACTCATCACTATTGCTGCACCGTAGTCTCTCCATGAATCCCTTTCTGTTATAGTGGAACCACTTACCATTCATTCTGATCTCGTTTGATTTCAACGAGCAACACTGAGATCGAATTCCTTTTTGCAGCTGAGGATAGAATGGGCAACTTTCCTCTTTGAAGGTTTATTTTTCCATCAAAACCCTACGCCTAGTGAATACGCCCAAAACATGTTGCCACTTTCTTTGAGTCTCGCGGTGTTAAAGAAACACCATCAAGAAACGGGCCGGATATGAGTCACGGTCTTCAATCCGTGACCTAAGAGGATCTTCGGAAGGGTAAACATGCCCTTGAAGTTGAGACCACAACAACCCAGATGAGGTCATTTATGACCTCGGGAAAGGAATTGGCATAAATCTTTGCACTTAAAGTGCACTTAGTTAACATGTAGAAAATGATGTTGCGTTATTTTGCAGAAATGTGGCAGAGGCAGTGGACTTTTTTATTCAACTAAAATAAATGGATGAGTTGGGATTATGGGAGGCAGATTACGATACTTAAGCCCACCGCTGGGTGGGTATGACGCTAATCAACCGTCTCGTGCCCCTCCATTTTGCGGTGGCAAAATTTGCAGCTTCTCAAAGTCAAAAAAATTTTGAATCTCGAAAGTATTTTTATGCCAAACATTTATTTATCATTTTATGTAAAATCTCTTGTAAAAACTATATCACTAGTATAAATGTAAAGTTTAAAATACGTAAGGAGCGTATTTTAGCAGCGCAGATACTTCGATTGACAAAAATATCTTCCCAGGCGTCTGCCGCCTCAACATTTTTGCAATCGCCTTTTAATTTGTGGTTTTGATGTAGGAGTCGTCTAAATTACTGAGAGTTGAGTGTTTGCCGGACTGTTTGACTAGGTTATTGACAAGTCGTCGGGGTACATTCGACCAAATGACAATGCAATGACAATCCGAATAGAGTGGCTACAATCCCAACGACTCTATCAGAGTAACTACAATGTGTACGACGACCTTGTTCAGACTCAGAAGAAGCAGTTGGCGTGAGTCTTCCCATTTACCCTAATGCAGAGTATATTTGTAGCTTTAAAATCCCTCATTCCCTAGGTAAGCGACTTTGTTAAGTGCCCAAATTTTTTACTAGGGTAAATGTACTGTCACTTCGGCTTCACAGGTTTTTTGTTTAGCTCCTTCAACTGTTGATGTATTTGAGCACGGCAAAAAACTCGCCAGAGCGGAGTGTGTTTTTGATCCACCTTCAAAGTGTACATCTCGCTTGGCACCTTTTGAAAATGCAAAAAATTCTGGCACATGTTTGGAGTGGTACCGCAGAATGTTCCAAAATGTATGCTATTTACTATGCTTTCTGTATCACAACTACAATAGCAATTAAATCGCCTTTGCCAGAAATACATCTTTACAATACCTGCCATGCTCTCCAGACTAAACACTTGTTTACACCGCACTGTTAATTAAATAAAGAGCTGAATTTGACTTTGGCAACTCAAACTGGTGGAGGAGGCATTTGATTAGCTGGAGTGCATGTCGTCTTAACCCATTTGTCACCTAAAAGCTGGAACTTTATTGCTTCGCAATGCTTCAAATGTTTATTAAGAATTTGGCCAAAAGACTTCAAAATTTAAACTACCTATTTACTAGATGAAGTATTTAGGAGGTAAAGTAGGATGCATTTGAAGGAAGTTTCCTTCCTTCAGTCTTCTTCTCCCCTCCCCACTTCCTTTTTACTAGAGAATTAATAGTTTTCAGCCACATCCCGCCTAGTGCAAGCACAGTCAAAAACCACACTGAAAGTGGTAACTTCCCTGAAGATGTTTTTGGCTCGCGATGATTTGCCCTGCTTTCAAACATCACGAAAAAACATTCAAGTTATTTTAAGATTGCATCATTTATAATAAAAGTTTTAGTAGATATTTTGATTATTATGGCCAAATTTAAATATTGTGTTTTGCCGAACCACTTTGCCTTAAAAAAATTTGAGTAGTATGTTTTAGAAGTTAACGTCAGTTGAGATGTGGTGTAAAAATCCCCTGCACTCCGCAGATGGATTTCGTGACGGCTTACCTATTGTTGAGGCTTTGTTTTTACACAGTCTACTAAAACTCTCACTTCTTCACACCATTAAAAGTTTGTATCACTGAGGTATGCTGTTTTCAAAAGAAGGTCTTTACCATGACACACCCAAACTTTTCTAAACTGGTAACTAAGCTAAAAGCTCAGTTGAGTGGTGGAACGTACCTCCCGCAATATGTCATCCAACGCTGCTGCCCACACTGCAATTGCACTTAACACCTCTTTTCCCCACCATTTGAATGGACAAGTCGGCAGCCCCAGCACTGGCAGTGGAAAGCGCGTTAAAAGCGTGAACCTTAAATTAGTGCTTCTTTTCACTTTGCTGAGGTGCGCTCATGTAATGTTGACTGCAAAATTTGTGTCAAAAGGAGCAGATTTGAAAGGTCCTACTAAGCTTTTCCTATGGTTATATGCAAAGCATTTTGAGACACCTTTGAACAAGATGTATGAACATTTGACCTGCATTCTTCGTGCTCCAAAATGGATGTGCAATTACAACCTTTGGAAGCATCTTATCGTCGAAGACGTTAATGCTTTGCCTTAAATGGTTCAGTCTAAACCACCTGTCTCCAGTTCGTTTTTAAGCCATGAAAGTTGGAGAAAAGGTAAAGCAGTTGCCCCATCACAGTTAATCTCAATCTTGATGGAGATACACTTTTGGCAGGTACGCATTCGGTCTTATTTATGTTATTAAGAGCCCTCGTAACGTTTGAGTCCACTACTACACTTTGTTCCTCTGCAGCAGGGGTCCTCTGCTCATTCTTTTAGCAAAATTTCTCATTCATTTGGAACTTATGCTCTTCATTTTCAAACACGACTCAATAATGTACTAAAGGGGCTTAAACGCGTTGGTTATTTGGAAGATTTTGATTTCCATTTTGATGTTTGAAGTTTTACGGGAGGGTTGAAAGTCCGTTTTAACCAACACCATAGAAAACTAACAGAAACACTATGACAGTGCCTTTGTCGATGTACTTTAAGCTTGTGTTGTGCAAAAGTTGCTCATCATGACAATTTGGACTGTAGACAGGATCTGGACGCGTTTGAGAGATGTCTGGGAGAACTACTAGTCATTGATGTGATCCAATGGCATAACGTAAAGTCTTCAAACAGTCATTCTTTTCCTTTTAAAATGGCAGATTTGAAAAGTAATGGAGGAAAAAAGCGCTAGCATATCAATAAAATTAGTCCCTCTTTGATAGAATGTATTGCCACTTCCTTTTTCAGAAGCTCATCCATCCCAGTATTCCACCTAAGATGGAATATTTGGATACCTACCTTCTTCATTCTTCCGTTTGCAGGGGCAACCTTAGTTCCTGTGTTATACAGCAATTACTGCGGAAGTAATAAATTGGTTGTCATACCGTGGGAAGTTAAGAGAACTCTGTGTTTTGGCAAAATTGACTCTATGGGAGGTGTCAGTCACCTTCTATCCAAACACACCATTGCTGTTGGCTTTTCTCAACCACTGTCACTGCCAGAACACCGTCTCTCAGCTGGTACGCTTACCTTAATTCATGCGTTTCGAAGTTTGCCTGACATACTTGTCCATTAACTTTTCAATCAAAAACTTGAGAAATGCATAGAATTCTGCAAAATGGTAAATTTTGCGGTGTTATGTGACAGCCATAACAATTGACTACGAATAAATTTATTTCAGTGGTTTTTTGACCCTATAGATCCAGTTTTCCATCCAGAGTTACAGCTTATTGAAAAAGTTTATTTAATTTGTGAAGTCAACATTAAACAATTTTCTCAAGGTTTGTTGGATTTGAAAGTCGTAAAGTAGTGTTATTAGAAAGAGGCATGAATTCGCAACTAGGTCCTGGAGGACAAAATATTTGTGGACTGCTGGTGTATTGATACAATGGTGGGGAAAAAGATGGGCCTGGCTTTTGAACTGAGGCTGTTTACACGCCCTAATGTTGGCAGATAAATTAAACTTTTATTGAGCTCACGGCCACTTTATTGCAAATGCAATTAAATGTAGCGTCCCAACCCAGGGAGCAGGCATAACTGGCGTCATTGGCAATCAGCACCTTCACATACATCAAGACCTTCCTCATCCGTGGCTTATAATTAATTAACCTACGAACATGGCCTATTAGAATATCAACTACTGCGATCTGTTTTTGACTGTGTCTACGTATAACGCTGTCCTGCCTGCCTTGATTTATTGTCTAAAGTCACCAATACTTTAATTGGTTCACTCAGTAACCTCACCTTCACAGCCCTTGATCAATTCCATGAGAACGGGAGGAAAATCACGAAGATCGAAAGTACTTGGCATACTTTCATCTTGTCAAAATGCTTCATTATGCAAGAAGAGCACTTTTAATTGTTTCAAATCAAGTGCTGTAGCGCAAACTTCAAACAGCGCTTAGTGGGAGACAGGTGTTGGTTCATTTCAATAACCTCAGCATTTCTTTTTTGCGCAAATACTCTTTCATGTTAATAGCCCTCGAGGGGTGAGCAGGAAATGCCGGTTGGTCCAATTCTTGTCTCTCCACCTTTATAATCACGTTGTCACCTGCTTCGTCCAATTGACCGGTAGTAAATATGAAAAATGTAAAAGTTATTGGAAATTAGCAACTCTACAAAGTTATGCACCAAACATTTGAGGATACTAAGATGAGTTTAGTAGGGAAATGGGTACATTGAAATTGGCATTTGGCATTTAAATGCCCACTTTTTGAAAACATAAGGGTCAAATGTTTCAAGCCCTTATGCTTCTCATAATGGCAGTTATGCAAAAATTTGCTATCTCTACCAGTGAATTTGTGTCACGCTTATTAGTCTGTTTTTTTATAACTCTAAATTGAACGACAGCGTTTAACCCACTACCTTAGATGAATTTGACCCTTTCTTACGGAGCGATACTCTTGACTTCCCACGCATTGTAATTTTGATGCTTTCTTTAAGTTTCTCCCACAAAACCATCTCGCTTTAGTTCTTTCTCACGTTTAAGAATACTTCCTTCTTTCGTTTGTCCCTTAGCAATGCTTATTTCATTGTAATCAATCTTTGAAGCACGGGCATGCAAGTTAAATATGGCAGCTGGGCGATAAAAATAAATAACGTTGTGAGGTCAGCAGTTAATAGAGGATTCGATGACTAAGTGTTGAGAATGTAATAGTTAATAAAACTACCCACAAAATTACTCTTTGTAGACGGGAATTGAGAGCACTGCAACTGGAAAACTACGCGCTAGAAAAACAACTCTATATGAGCAATGCACCCAGTTCCGTGGAATTGAATGTACCAGAGAAACGTGGTTCTACACTTTCTCAGTCTATGAAACACCTCAATCACTCCTCGCCGCCCTCCTCACCTGAACTCGCTCTTGCCCAGAAAAAGACGGTGTCAAAACAATTCTCTGTAGCCGTGGGTCGTCGACTACCCAATGCCTCTCACCTTACCTCCCCTCCAAAGGGCAGCTTTCTCTCCGCCAACACAAATCTGAATGTTCGACGCCACAGCTCTTCTCTCGGAGGGGTGGTAGAATCTCAGGGACGTCCGCGACGGTCGCTTCCCAGTCCTGGTATCCCTAGCAGCAGTGGTGGGGGAAGCGGTGGTGGTGGGGGTGGTGGAGTAAGCTGGAAGCACCAAAAGCGTTGTATCGGAGGCGATGAAGATCTATCAGAGGGTTACAAGAGCAGGGACGACAGTCCGGTGCAGCATCCGCCACAGGTGGGAATAAACAAAGGCAGCTCGGGCAGCATGACCAGTATGAGCACGCTTTCACTGGGTCAGCAGGGCGGCCGGCTCTCTACTAACCAGCGACAGCAATTGCGGCCACACACAGCCACCTCGGCCTCTTCTCTCGTCTACTCTCAAGGTCACAATGGTCACAACTCCCTCACTCCAACATTGGTTTTCAGTCTCTCTTCAGAGGACAGTGCCTCTGGTGGTGTTGGCGGTGATGCCAGTGGCAACGAGGCAATGTGAATGGGTTCCCTCCTCTCCCTTCGACTCTTTTGATGTGCTCTATGTTCACCATTTCCGACTTCATTCTCCCCATTTGTTTATTTAAAAATAAATAAAGTCCTCTCTATATGTTTCAAAAAACTCATTTTTAAGTACCCTTGTGCTAATATTTAATTCGAAACTGATTCCCATTGAAGTCTGTCCAAAAGGGAAGCGATGGCAGAAAGCGATTTGTTACGTGATAGCGCCACCACTTTGCCAATCCAAGAAGGCCAAACAATGTCCCAAAGTCGACTGCTTCGTTTATGATCTCAGCTATGTATAAATGAATAGTTGATTGGCATTTAGAGTGCAACGTTGCCAATCATTATCATGCTTATAATATTTGATAACTCTGCACTTCGGGAAAGCCCAACGATGCTTGTGTTAGAAGAAGAGCATAAGAGGAAAATCACGCCTTGCCAAGTGCACAGTGCCTTTTACCTTTTAGGCATGCAAGTAGTTGTTACTTTTAGTTATTTTTTAAAGAAGCGAATTCATAACTACGTTTTCTGATGCGGAAAGTTGATTGTCAAAATGAACAATGAGAAGGAGATAAAATTAACTCATCCACAAGCACATATGTTCTCTTTAAAAAAAAGGGAGTAAGCGTAAATATTAAATGACTGCATGAAGCGAGCCAAAGTATCGTCCCATTTGAGGAGATGAAGTTGAAAGCTGAGAACAAATTTTTCAATGGTGGAAACGAGATGCACAGTTGACAAAGACAGGTGCTGTCAATTCGAATACACTCACTTCTTAGATTTTACGCATTTCTAACAAAGCCTTTATACACTAATGCCATTCATCCCCTCTTTTCTAGAAGTTGTGCAATGGTTTGGCACAACCTCACAGCAAATAGAGGGCAGATGGGTTAGGAAGAATAATCAATCATACCCAATTGCAATTACTCCTGAAATCTGCCTCTACAACGCTATGAGCTTACAGTTAAGAGTGAGAAAGCAGCAAAATGAATTTTGGTAGCCTGGATCAAAATAGCACGGGCAACTGACAATCTCTTATCCTTGCATCTCAGTGCTAACTTCATTGGAAAGGTCGCTGAGTGTTCTGTTACCTGATCATGCGACCTTCAGCTCATTTCATAACTGCTCAAAATGTCTTACATGGAAAGCGTGAAACCGGTCATAAGTTCCCAATTTCAGACCATCCGCATATCAGTTGGTGCCTATCGCTTTCATAGAAGCGGTTTAAGTCTAGGGAAAGACTGGTCTACGACAGTACATCAGGCACATCAAAATTTCATAACGGACAAGCAGATGTCTCATGCTTCGGTGGCTTCGCCTCTCAAGCGTTAAGGGCTATTGTTAGTAAGTCCTTTAACATTGCTACTGGATGTGTTCAAGAATGCTTGCGCTTATGAACGGCGACAGGGGCTGTGCTGCAAAATAAAGTTTTGCGGTAATTCATTGCAAACATAACCACAGCTGTGTGACAGGAGATGAGGTGGCGCTGCTATTAGAGCAACGTTGTTTTGTCTTTCTGAAACTGCTTTTAATCTGTCATCCGTTGACTTTCGACTATTCTGCTGTACGAACGTCACTGCTCTTCCTCCTCATGGCCTCAATTTAGTTCTATTGAAGGACAAGTTAAATTTCACCCCAATTTTGGAGCAGCCATTTGGGTACTTTATGGCACGCAAAAGTAAGCCATGTTTTCATCACCTTGTTGCATCACCGTAACCGTCTGTTGGCCCCATTGTTATCTGGCGCGTTTGAGGGCAACGTGCTCTCCCCCATGTCGTTTAGCTGACAATGCTACATACAGAGTGATAACGCACTAATACGGCTGACAAAAGAACTCGGATGTTATAAAATGTGTCCTTGCTGAGGTAGAGCAACAATTTTACACTACATGGCTTGTCGATCAGATTTGGAAGGATATCGACAATCTCAAGACAGCGGCCGTGATAGAATACTTGGCACGAATTCCTAACAAAGCGTTTGAATGTCACTTACGATTACCACAACAATACGTACAGTTTTGATGTTTTGCAAACTAAAAATGTTTTATTTTCAGTATCTCTTGAGTAATGAGAAGAGCTTCTTAAGTGTGATAAGAAGAGGAGGGTATCAAGGTTTGCTTTAGAAAAATCACTCCAGTACAATGGACCGCTCCTGCATAGCGTTGGTGTGAATCGATGGTAGACGTCTGGATCAGCTAACTTGGTCATTTCAAATCTGTGTCAAGTTGTGTTCATCGCCTCGGCAACCCCTCATAACTACTACGACTTTTTCTGCAAAAGCAGGATGAGCGTATGAAAATAAGCTAAGGTCACTAACATTTTGCAAAAAGTTTATGCATAAAATGCGCCTAAAATTTTTGGATGCTTTTAGCAACCAACTTGAAGTCGCAAATTAACTTTGGAGCAGAAAATTGCTTTGTTCCACTTTAAGATGCTCAAAGCTATACCGCTATTTGTTTTCCAGTTTGGGAGACTCCTTCAAACAAACACTTTCGGCTGCTCCGTCCCATTGAAAAGTAACAACAGCCTCCTCTTTGCCATTAGGTATGGGTGGTAATAGAAGCACCGGATACCTCCCTTTTCCTCCATGGAGGATTGCATAAGTGATGCCTAGTGGAGGTGCGCTTTCGGTTGTGCCTCTTCAAGGGCGACGTATCGTATGCAGCTAATAAGAGGAACAATTAACTTCACTACTGAATCCTTAACTACTTTGCTACCATGTTGTCTTCGTTGAACCGTTGGTAGGCAAATTATAAGCATTTGATCCTCCTTTCGTTTATCGTTTCTGCCATTGTTAATGGTTGAATGAGACTTTGTAATATTTCATAGTCGATGCCTTAAGGCGCTTTTCTCCCTTGAGTAAGGGACAATGTTAATACGCCACAACTTCTGCTTACTACCAAAGATAAAATAATTGCCTACAATTTATAATGAAATTCTTTGAAAAGAAAATAGATGTATGGTTGGCCATCTCACGCCGCCTTCCTTCATTCTTTCAAGCCACCAGTGTCAAAACTATCTTTCTACCATTTTAATGGCATAATTTTCGTTGTTTCTCTCCAGAGCTATGGTAACCGGGCTAAAGGCGATGTAAGTTTCCTTATCCACTATTTGCTTTAACCAACGTTTTGCTCATCAAATTGTCAGTCAACAGGCATAAGGGCCATACGAACACAAGCAAATGCCCTTTTATAAGTCAAACTGTAACGGGTCCAATTCCGCAGTCACCTGCCCATAAGTGAGGCACTTGAAAGCCTATTACTGAAAATTAATTCGGGTTTGGTAAAATGACCACTGATAGCACCTAATCAATGGAACTTGTGGTCATTTCAGCAAATCGTCTTTGAGCAAAATTGACAAAAACCTAAAACTAAGTATTAACTGAATAAATCCCTTTATAACTTTAGGCGAAACTCAACCTATACCTTCTAGAATTATGATTTTTTTCAACAACATTAACATCTGCGAGGGATGGATGTTAGCCATTTTTTAATCCTTTTCTGTTATTGTAAGTTGAGCTCGTTTAGTGGTTCGCCAAATTACCTCCTCTGAAGTTACACATGCCTCCAAGTATCCCAATCACATCGATGATAGTCAAAACGGTAGAGGAGAAGTCACATTCACTGGAAGGCAAACTACATGGCAGGCCCACCATCTTAGCGAAGTGCATTTAACCTAGTTTATGTTTGGAATCTGTTAACGGACCTGTTCGGCGATGCGATTCGCTGCATGCGACAACACACGATTGCGTTACCACAATTGTTTAATGAGTAATTTAAAGGCAATTTAATTTTCTCCTCCGTTGACAATGTGCGAGGAGCATGCCCAAAGTTGACGACAGTAAATGGGACCGTGGGATTTCGTTGATGTTCTGTGAAACGCTGTCTTTGTTGAAATTTGAGTGCATTATTTAGGTTCCAAAGGAGGTTCTTTGAAAACTTCTTCATTCTATTTCCGAGTTAAGGCTACTATTGTGACAAAAAAGGTTCATTGCAGGGCTCAGTGGATGAGGTTACTCGCAGTGCTGGCACCTGATGTAAGCATTGTCAAAATTTCTGCGTTTGCACCTCACTGCACCTGAATATTTGGGCTGAAACCTCTACTGCCTTTAATTAAACCCATTATTATGTGGCTTAGTAGCTTTTGCAACAATGTCCCTGTAGGGCCTAAGCACGCCTCCGAGGAAAGATGTTTCCTGTTTACTGCACAAGTGAGTTTGACGTCATGAGTTGGGCCTTTTTACTGGCAGGAACAGTCCTGTGTGGCAGCGAAAGGTCTGTTACATTGCTTTCAAAGGTGAAAACAGTAAACCTCAACCAAAATTGCAATAGAAGCGTACATTTAGTCCATAAAACATTCGTAACGCATGGTATTTTTAGGTCGGAGACAATGGCAATTCAAAACTTAGTGGAGGCCTTTCTTCTAAACCCCTGGTGACCCAATCAAGGTGTAAAACTACATTACTGCTCTCAACAGCCTACCGAAGGAATGCAAGCACGATTTGCTTTGCCTTGCCAATAGAGCTACCACGCAAGCGCTTGCAATGCATAAATGATCACCTAGACACTTTCACTCAGCACCTTGCAACCGTAAGCAAGGGCATACGTCAAATAATGACACTGACCTCCAGCCTGTCTACCTGACGTCCTCTTCCGCGGTTGCGCTGATTGGATGAGATGGAAAGAAGATGAAGGGAACTGCATTTTTGCATATATATTTCCGGAATAAATTTCATCGTAGTGAAGCTTCAACTCTGTTTTTTTAGTGATCCATTGCTGATAGCGTTGTTTTCACAAAGTAGGATTTAACTACACCACTGTTTTCCAGAATTAATATTTTGCAACATAATTTAAGGCTCCCTTGTGTTTGTGTGAAGCCTTTTGAGTGGCATTTGTGCGTTGGCATGCTAGAGTACACCTTCTCAAGCAGATTGTTTGAGCTCCAAACGTTAAAAATGATGTTAAGGTGCCCTAATTTGAGAATAATTAGAGATTACTTT